AATCATGTGAGTAGAATTTCAGATCAAAAAGTCAAGGTCAAAGGTCATTTCAGGTCAACAGACTTGGACTATGTTGTAGCATCATCATCGAAAACTTAACCTAAGGTTAAGTTTTTGAATTTTTGGTATAATTTTTAAAGTATAAGTTCTAAGTCAATGAAACTTTGACTATAGGGTAATCAAGTATCCCCAATCATGTGAGTAGAATTTCAGATCACAAAGTCAAGGTCAAAGGTCATTTCAGGTCAACAGACTTGGACTATGTTGTAACTCATCATCGAAAACTTAACCTAAGGTTAAGTTTTTGAATTTTTGATATAATTTTGAAAGTATAAGTTCTTAGTCAATGAAACTTGGACTATAGGGTTATCAAGTCTACCCAATCATGTGAGTAGAATTTCAGGTCACTAAGTTAAGGTCAAAGGCCATTTAAGGTCAACAAACTTAGACTTTGTTGTGGCATCAACATTAAGATTTTCAAAATGCTTCTTCTTCGTTATTTTTCAACCGATTTTGATTCTGATTGTTTCATATGATAGGGCTAGGAAGGGATTTAAAATTTCTTCACAGAATCGTGAAATTCATTATCTATGCTAATTTATGCAAATTTATTCGAAATCACAAAAAAGGCTTCTTCTCCGTCATTTCTCGATCGATTTTGATTTGGTTTGCTTTATATCGTAGAGCTAACTTTGGTACACTAAACCTCTACACAGAATTTTGAAATTGTTCTCCATTAATTAATTATGGTAATTTATGCAAATTTATTCCAAAAATAACAAAAATTGCTTCTTTTCCCTCATTTCTTGACCGATTTTGCCTTATCTGGTAGTGCTTAATTTGGAACAATAAACTTTTACACAGAATTGTGAGATTTTGCTCCACTGATTATTTATGGTACTTTATGCAAATGAAATGAAATTATGTCCCTTCCAGGGCATCAAATTTCTATTTTTTGACCAGTTCAAAAGTGTACCACATAAAATTTACGATATTTGTTGTTGTGAGATGCGGATGAGCGCTACGTCATTGACGTTCTGGTTTATCATATTGAATTGCGTTATGCAGGCGAGACCGCCGAGAGCGTTTCCCTTGTTTTAAATTCAAACAAAATAATGTGAATACAGCCAAGTTATTATTTTGACTTATTGTAATTGTAATTATTTCTGGCATGAAAAGGTTTGGAAACATTTATCATTTGAAATCTTATCTTTCTGTATCTAGGGATAGTAGTTGGCACTCGATGAAGTCTAGGAAGGGCAGTCACATTAGTAGCATCTTCTGTGACAAGACCAAGATCATCGCAGCATGCTCAGACTTCAGGATCAGGATCTGGAATTTCCACACATGACAGGTCAAAGGTCTACACTCCAGATTCTCACGCTCCATTTCTAATAAGCCTCCGTCCACGAATGAAAAGTGTAATAAAGATATGGTTGTAGAGTTGTCATTGCAAGTTGTGCAATGTATTGCAGATTATTGGATATATAAATCAGTGTATACAAGTATATTTTGTCTAAAGTCAAAATTGCAGCCAATTATGATGTCTCCCAATCTACATGTAGTATATAAGCTCAGTATTGTGTCTTCACAGAAAGTATTTTTTACTAGTTTTAGAGATGACTTCCATTATCATAGTGTATTCTTCCATGTTCCATTCCATAGGACTATTACACTTCTGTAGATTTTATGTAGGTTTCTTCATAGTTGTCTAATTCAGTATGCAGCTGTTGGCCCTTCCAAATGTTAACAAGTGAAATTGTGTATTCATATATGCTGTGTAGTATGCATTTATTTAATAATAGCATGCTGACATTATAAATTGGCATCCTGTAAACTTAGCTTTTAAATTATTTATCTCTTGAAAACCCAGTAGAGAAAATGTCCTTCTTCCAGATTTATGTAAGATGGTGTATCTTTTACTGGAGTGGGGTTTTCCCCCATGTGAACTTGTACAGAAAGAACAGCTTTCACTGAAGTGTGTGGTAAGATTGTACTGAAGTATTCATATATCTATATGTATCATGTATCTATATAAGGCTTCCAGGTGGTACAATAAATCAGTGTATTCAATAGCTGAAGCACAGTACCCGGATGACTGACCAATATTGTTTTGATATTGCTCAGTCATCCGGGTACTTCAACTATCGATATCGAAATCAATATCACACACAAAAAAGCCATATTTACTGAGGCAAGTCAAGGCAAATTTTGTCATTTCGCTATAGTCAGCCTGATATAGATAATATGGCTTTGTTTTCTGAGATACAAGAATATATTGCTCTCGCAATGACAATATTGGATTCGTCTCTGACTCGTTCAATATTGTCATAGCTTGAGCAATATACTCTTGTATCACACTCAAAGCCATCCAATATTATATAACTATTGCTACAATAACCAATTCAAAATATGTTGATAATATATTCAGTATGAATAATTCAGCATGTATACAGTCATGTAAATGCATCTTGCAAATGAGTAGAAAATAATGTTAAACAAATTAATACTGCTGTATGTCATGCTCTTTGTTGTAGAAAAGCAATGAAAACTTCCACTTCTTGTTAGAAGTGATTGATATGCGCACATATGATGAATATAGTATTGAATTGTGAAAGCTCAGAATGGATCATCAACTTAAACCATTTTAGCACCTCAACTACATGTAACTATTAGGACTTATTTATGAATGCAGTATTATTAATCAACAATAGTGATGTTGACATGTTTTATATGCTATAATGGTAAGCAAGAAAACAAACCATGCACTGTAGTATGTACCTGTAAGTACAATTTACCTCCACTTTTAGATAAATATTGGTCAGTAGACTACCATTACAGTTTATTGAAAGTCAAATTTGATAGATGAATGTTCGTATAATGTTTTTAATAATTTACAGAGCTTTGTATTTATTGTATATATGTGTATACATGTTTTAGCAAATATTATATTTGTATATATATATATATTTATGTATAGAAAAAATAAATGTACATTTTGTCCCTAATATGTTGACAACTGTTTTATGTATTTCTTTCATTCAAGTTGATGGTAAGATATCGAGAGTCAGGGGTCATATCAATGTACAAGCAATGGGATAATGAAAAAAAAGAGAGAAACAGAGAGCTGTAGAGACAGAGAGATCGAGGCACCCCTAATCCCTCTCCCTATATGTATCTTATGTATCACTTGTTCATATTTTCTAGCCATCTTTTTGAGTCCATTGTATTTTATTGCATACGATTCCCGTTTTCTATTTTGAATGTGTGTACATGTATCTTATGTATCACTTGTTCATATTTTCTAGCCATCTTTTTGAGTCCATTGTATTTTATTGCATACGATTCCCGTTTTCTATTTTGAATGTGTGTACATGTATCTTATGTATCACTTGTTCATATTTTCTAGCCATCTTTTTGAGTCCATTGTATTTTATTGCATACGATTCCCGTTTTCTATTTTGAATGTGTGTACATGTATCTTATGTATCACTTGTTCATATTTTCTAGCCATCTTTTTGAGTCCATTGTATTTTATTGCATACGATTCCCGTTTTCTATTTTGAATGTGTGTACATGTATCTTATGTATCACTTGTTCATATTTTCTAGCCATCTTTTTGAGTCCATTGTATTTTATTGCATACGATTCCCGTTTTCTATTTTGAATGTGTGTACATGTATCTTATGTATCACTTGTTCATATTTTCTAGCCATCTTTTTGAGTCCATTGTATTTTATTGCATACGATTCCCATTTTCTATTTTGAATGTGTGTACATGTACATAGAAACATGTGGCATATCTCCATAATGTGTCATTCACATGAATTTTGCGAGAATCTGTGGGCAAACAACATCTTTCCCATCTGGGATATATAAATAGCCGAAGCAGGCATTCATCAGTGTCTGAATCAATAATTCTTAAGTATGCATTATCGTTCAAATCAATGATTATTATGTATGCATGCCTGCCCTGTGTGGCTAGACTACATGTACCTAGAAAAGACGTTGACCTTCATTGTGCAATTATTACTTTTGCGACACGAGACTTTCCTATTTGCCAACATTGAGTGTTCTGTCAGTTTGTAATCCATTCCTTTCATGGCACCAAGCTAACACGAAACTCAGCCACTCGCAATGCATGCAAAAAAGTTTCTGATTTCACAGTGCTTTTGTAGTACAGATGTAAAAGAATTTTATATTTGTTCTGCCAAGAAGCCGACCGGCCACATAGCACAAAGAACAAGCCAAAAAACATAATGATCTACTATTCTTTCTGTCTTTTAATCACACCATGATTGCATTACCATATTTGAAATATATTCCATGAACATCTCTATAAAGAATAGGCCCCTTTCTGTGATGATAATAATAAGGCAAACACACCTAAAACTGACAGAAAGTAGAGAATGCTCTGCATATCGAAAATCTATAAAGAGATAAAGATAAGAATCTGGTAATTTTACAACTTTTTGTACAGCTGACACATGTCTTAATAAATACTATGATACAACTATATACAAAGTGGCAAAAACACACATTAAAAAAATATAAGTCACATGCAGAAAGTACATTACTAAAACAAAACAAAATATTTCGTCAAAAAACATAACATGCATTAAGGGCTCTCAAGAAACATCTTGGAAAATACAAAATATACAAACGACTTTGAAATTTCAATAAAAAGGAGTATGAAATAATCTTGAAAGATGCTAAGAATACACAAATCTGTGCTTGAATAGATTGAATACATGATTTTTTTTCTCTCTCACACATTTACATGCACATTAAAAACAACGTAGCACTTTATATTGGTCATATATATATAATTATATTGTAAATGTATATATAAATAACAAGGTGAACAATATATTTTTGGCACCAGTGTATAAACAGACATAAGAGTGTAACCAACAATACATTTCTAACTGACTACTCATGCCATGAGTCCTGTTTTGACTAGCCAGTTTCTTTTACAATTCATGGTATAAATACTGTGTTTAATTTGTGCCATCTTTTATGCATGATTAGGTTTTTCGGCCCAAGGTTGTCAAATTATCGCCGTTTAATACAGGCATAGAAGGATACAATTAGGGTGATTTGCTCTGCTATCAACTACATGAGTAAAAAGAAAGCAGTATGTGCAAAAAATCTCATTAGACGTTGTAAATTGCACATAATGAACAGGTGGTGCAAAATTAGTGCTAAATTGTCCCTGCTCTAGAAACTATATCCATCATCTAGATTATGCGTACTTCAATTGGACCTATATTAATATGACATTTAACAATTCTGTGCTGTATCTTTTAATATCTGTACAGTTATAATCGGGACCATGTAACATAAAAATAGACTTAACAGTCAATCAAACAAAAATCTGTTGTATCTCCAAACTTGCTGCAATTACCAGTTCTTACCATGCACTGTATCTATCTATAAAACAAAATTAATTGTAAAGCTAAGATTGATTGAAGGAATTATGATTAATTAGAAGTAGATACATTTGAATTTAAAGTTTTATGTCACAGAGCCCAGAACTGCTAAACTTAAAAACTACCCCAAAAATATATATATTGGTTGCAGCAAATGCAACAATTTATATGAATACATCAAGGTAAAGTATACATGTGTTCTTATGCGTACATGTAGGATTTCTGTTAAAAACAAATATACATAAAATACATGTTCTCTGTTCATTTTGAAAACAGGAATGTGACATACAAAAAGTATGTACATGATATAAGTACTGATTAATGTGAAAAAACACTGAATACATTACATACCGGTACACACTCCCATATACAAACGTACATGTATTACATATATATGCTACTTGGAATGTTCCTCAAGGCATTTCGGTCTTCTTGTTTACTCAGAAAAAAAATCAATATCATTGAATTTTGCCAGGATTGGATAAAACCAGCTGCCCCTATCACTCTAACATTTACATGCAGCTACAAGACACATAATCTACTGTCTATTCAAATTGGTTTTGTTTTGCAATATATTTACAATGTACAGGTGTATGTGTAATCATAATGTGATCATGTTGTTTCAATGCAGTAAATTTTTAAATACAAAATTCGTCTCCAAAAGATATCTGGTGCATTGGGAAGAATGTAATACTTCCTGTGTGATATCTGATGAAGACAGATGTTTTACATTGTGCCAAAACACAGCTAATGATAAGGATATTGCTATCAACTTAGATCAAGTTTAAAAAACATGATAAGAAAATCAGAATGGATCATCAGCTTAAACTATTTTAGCACCTCAACGAACTATCAATAATCAATTTTCTTTCACAAGAAAAGTACAATATAACATAATGTTATTTGACGTGATTAAATATATTATGGAAACATTCTTATGCAGGTATAATATGGGCTGTGTAGTAGTCCTTACACACACGCTCATGTTTCAAATAGACTTAAACTCAAATGAATGCACAAATCTTTGTTTAAGTACATGTACCTCATTACAAAGTATTCCATTCACCTGTTACAAATAAATGTATTTCAATAATAAGAATGTGCATTGTGCATATTAATTGTTGCTAGGTAGGACAAAATTATGGCTTGTCCTACCTAGCAACATGTATGGACTTGAATTCTGATGATTGAAATGCAATTATCTGTAACAGGTGAATAAATTAATTTGTAACGAGGCACTTAACAAATATTTGTGCATTAAATCTGATTACATTACAAAAATGGTTCATTAATTTTGCTCGCTCAGTCCATGTGAAATGTAAAGTTTAATGGTTGAATTTGTGAATTTGCAGTACACATGAACACAAATTACAGAGATCAGGGTTGCAATTCTATTGATGGTGATTAAGTTCTGTTTTAAATAAGAGTGGGATTGTACGGAGACGATCCCAGAATCAACATAAAAACAAGGTTACAGTAAGTTTCTTTACAGAGATTACTCCTACAGTGTGCCAAACATTTACTACACATGATTAATGAAACATTAAATCAAATCACCTTGTCCTTCAATAATTTCGAGTCTTGTTCTTTAAACAAGTTTTAAGTCACATGAGTACATGATTACATCATCATCATCAACAATATGATCATAGTACAGCATTTATAAAATGTAAACATGGTACTACAATGTATTTCTACAAGTGTACACATTGTTATACTTGATTTCAGTAAAACTCCAGGCACAGGTAATATCAGCCTTTCTTTTAAAAAGATTTCTATCGTATTCGGTGCTACATAATGATATCAACACCTCTTGCAATTCCCATATGAACAACTCTACTTTTTCAGGGACAAGTCGCTGAAATAAATCATCATAAAATGAAGAAAAATAAGTATCCCATAGAAATAGAAACAACAAGAGTTGGATATCAAATTGGTTGCTTTGTTCCTTGACCAAGTCGCTGCTTGGAATCGAGATAATTTTTATTCTTTTCTATTCTTAACAAAATAAGGTCTGAGAGTGATCTAATCAGTGCCTTCATTAGATATTGGCCTCATTTCAAAATTTGCTTCTTGGATAACACTGCTATATTGAAGAGATTATCGTCTTTTGCCGACATGATTTTGAGCTACTTAACTTCATATACTTTCACTGTATGTTATAATTTCTTTTAACAAATGTAAAGGCAATTATAAGCATGGAATGTTTAAAAACATGTCAGAATATAATTTTGTTTTCATTCATAGAGAATGAGCTCCTATCTCACTGTAGCAGGTGAACTGAATGAGTTGTTTTCATCAACAGAGAGATTGTGTATGTCTCTTTCATGAGCTCATCATAACATAACTTCCTCAATGTCATCGTCAAAGTCATCGAAACTAGACTTTGGTAAATTGACGGTCAGACCGTTTGGTTTGTTCGCTTGACCGAAGAGGTTGCCTTGTGGCTGCGTCTTCTTCTCCCAAGGCAGCGTAGCATTGTCCGCAACCGGCTTCGCCTTTGTCGACTGCGAGAACACGGATCCTTCAAATGAATTCCTACCTTTGTTGGGGGTGGTGGATTTATTGTCTGAAAAAAAATTTGACCTCCTGTCTTTGGACTTGTCCGTCGGCTTCGGTTTTGGCGTCGCAAAGATGTCGTCACTGTCATCATCGTCGTCGTCGTCGAATAGACCCCCTTTCTTGACAGGTGGTTTGTCACCAGCTGCTGCGCGACGCCCGAAGGTGGGGGCGTAACTTCCAAACACAGCGTCGGTATCCGCGGCAGGTTTCTTCTTAGGGGTAGAGTTAGGAGACCCTTGGAGATCTGGATGGGATGGCTTCCCGTTGTGTAGATTCTCAATAGGCTGGGTGAATCTTGGGAGGAAGAAATAGAACAGCAGACAAGCATAAGGGTGTGATTCTGTAATAGATCAAGTCAAATTGAATACTTATTTTCTATTCTATTCTATTCTTTTTATTCATCCAAATTTACAAGAATACATAGAAATTTGTTTGGTCACACATTGTAAAAATACGTAATATATGAGAAACTATATCGTTGTGTTTATAATCATAAAAGAACCATCAAAATAAAAAGTAGACAAAATAGAAATATTCTTATATTCTAGTGTTACACATTGAAAATGATGAAAATGATAGAATATCAGTGGGAAGGAAGGAAGGAAGGATAACCATGCAAAATCGATACTCTGTACTCACATGAAAATGCAGTATATATTTAAAAATTTCAATCACCTTTTCCAATCATCATACTGAAGAGAGAACATGCAGAGTAAAGGTAACTATATACATGTAGAGTAATGGTTGGAACTTAAATGTGTTTATATTTTGTTAATAGACCATTTTTGTAATGTAATCAAATTAAATGCACAAATCTTTTAAGTGCCTCTTTATGAATGATTTCATTCAATATTCAGAATGGGAATTGCATAGATTAATTGTTGCTAGGGAGGAAAAACACGGCTTGCCCTCTACATGTACACTGTACCTAACAACATGTAATGTATTACAAAAATGGCCTGTTGCATGTCAACATGATGTGCACCTAAATATCAGTATTTTTCCCCTCTCTCACATCAAACCAGCTCTTTCGGGAGAAAGCAACACATTTATTGTTCCATAACTTACTTGTTGTGGGAAAATTGTTAGAAGGTGGAGTAGGGGAAGAAGGAGGATACTTTGGATGGACAGTCTGCAGAAATTGGTGGAAGAGAGAGAAGTGAAATAACTGGGAGTGGTACTAATACAGAAGGCTAGGAACCGAGGGTTGTGGAACAGCATGATCGCCAAAGTCAATGGATATGGCACTTAAAGAGAGAGAGAGAGAACTTACTTGTAATCTTTCTTGGTTCCCCCTGATGCTGGTTTGGTGTCGAGATCTCTCATCTTGGCCAGCAGGATATCCTTCTTCCTTCGTTCCTCCGCAAGCCTCTCAGACTCCTCCTTCTGCTTCTTCCTCTGTGCGGCCAGATCTTCTTCCTCTCGTTTCCTCTCTATGATACAAATTAGTGTACATGTACATGAGAACGTACATGGGTAATGGTATTTGCCACAGTCAAGCAATAAATCAAGAGTTGGCAAATTTTTGAAATTTCCTTTTAAGAATACTTTTTTGTCATTAATGGTACTAAGTCAGTAATTCATTTTTATTCACTTCATATCCCCCTGCTTTCACACATGCACACCATTATTATATCATGTATTTAATTAAAAAAGTTAGATGACATGTTGTAAATCCACATGCTGATCAGTGGATACAGGTTGGGCGTCTTGTGTACAGCACTTTGATTAAGGCAGGTAAAAAAAAGCAACACACATTCAAGGTTGAGAAAATAAGTAAACACTTTAACACAGTAAACACAGTAAGAAAGAAAGCTGATGTCAATAAAACCAAACTGGTAATTTTGCAATGAAGCAGTTGTTGAATGACACTCCAGTGTTAGATATTCATAAAGTCACTTGGGAAGTGTTTTACTTTAAAAAGAAAAATATGAATGAATAAGTGCTGTCAAGTTTGAATGTTTCAAAGCAATAATATGATGTTACAACAAATACTCTATACAGACAAAAACCCTAAATGGAATGTATGAAAATATGATGTTGAGATGAAAGAAAAACTACTGCTTTAGAAAAATCAGACACTTGAGATGTACCGGTATGTTAATTAGTCATATTCAAAGTGACCAAAACAAGTATTAATGAATAAATAGTGTCAAGTTTGAATGTTTCAAAGCAATAATGTGATGTTACAACAAATACTTTATGCAGAACACAAACATTAAGTGGGTTTATAAATGAAATCTATTAAAATATAATGTTGAGATGAAGGAAAACAACTGCTTTAGATAAATGAAACACAAATGTGTATCAGTATACAAAACTAAAAAACATCAAACATCAAATAAAGAAAGAAAAAAAAGTCAAACACACAAAATTAATCATAAGAGCGTCATATTTGCAAAAGAGAGAATGCATAAAACCATGAATGATAGCACGATGAAAGGAAGACACAATTTCATGAAAAATTTAAGTGACTAATTAAGAGTAAATAAAAAATAGTGTTACAGGAAATGGGTCCGGAGTTAGACAGAGAGGAAACACATGCATGAATAACTCATGAAGACAATGGACAGGAAGAGAGAGGGAGACATGCTATGCTATTTACCATTATTATCGCCACTCTCTCTCGAGTTGGGCTTACTACCGCCGCTATTCCGCCGAGCATTACTGGAGTACTTGTGCAGGTCTCTCACGCTATTGACGGCCGCCCCAGAATAACTGGTGTTGGAGGAGGGGGGTGGGGCGCCCTTGGGTCTGGAGTACGGGGCTTTCTTGGGTTTGGACCCAAAGAAGGGGACGTTGTCTTCCTCATCGGAAGATGCGCCGTTGAAGATGGGAGTTTTGGGAGCTTTGTCGTCGGTGACGAAAGTGGAAGATTTGACAAGTGCTGCCGATTTAAAGGGAGGGTGGAAGATAGAGAAAAAGAGGTCTTGTCTTGGTGTTTTGAATATATTTGGTGATGGACAAAGGGTCACAAGATAGCATGCTCATCATGTCTAAAGACTAAAGTGGAATAATATTTGAGTTGGCAGTATTAAGAATTAGAAAAAAATCTTCTGCATTTTCAAAGAAAATAAAGGGTGTGCGCTAGGATCCAGATTTTAGAGTCAAGAAAACTAATACCTAATAAATATGGTATTGCTCTACATGTACTTGTATGTGATTGTGATACCATTAGTGCATGTATTTGTTAGTGAATTAAAAAAAAAAATTGTAAGTAAAATATTCCAGCAAATGAGTCCAAATTATTCAAAGGAATTATCAACATGTCATGTGTTTCCCTCTGCAAACCCTTAAATATAGCCCACTTCAAAATGTATTTCCTGCCTTATGATTCAATAAGAAGCACATTATATGCCAATCTACAACATCAACTTTAAACAAAAATGAAATGTATAATGGTCTCCCTAAAATGACTCGACCATATTGTCAAAAGTGAGACATACTGTATGTGAAAACGATCTGATGTGAATGAAAAAATGGGAACTACAGAGGTGAAAGTTCATTTCTTGAATTAACATAAAATGCATGTTGGGTGAACAGAAAATGAAAGAAACATGGTCGATGAAATTCTTTAGGGTTTGTATTTTACAAGAGGTTGTGATGAGTTGAATATTGAGACTAAAGGATTTTTGAATGGATATAAATACAAGAAAGTTGACAAATATATTCATAGAGCAGGTAGTAAATGAATCTCACTGAAAGAAAGATATTTCAACTACTGACATGTACAGTAGTGTAGGATGCTGTATTTCTGCTTATTGTACTGTCTTCTTCTCCTCCGCTTATTATAATTTGAATACATGAAATAAGAGCAAAAAGTAGCCTTTTATTAAATATAAAGGAGTTGTAAATGAACAGGAGAAAAATTTTACTGCCATACTGCAATATGTGATTCAAGTTTATGTAGAAATCACCGCCTGCCAATGACTAAAGTAATGAAATATCATTGAATGTTAATATATTGTGCTTGGACTGCTTGCACGCATAAAAAATGTAAACAGTGTGAATTATCACCAATAAACAATCATAATACAACTGATGAAACGTGAGATGTGCTGTGAAATTTCAATGTGTGTCTGTACAGAAAATGTAAACTGTCTCTCGACTTGGTATATATTTGGAATATATAATTATCTATGTGTACAACTACAATCACAGTGGATATGAAAATTGAAATGATAAATAGATGGACAATATACTGTACATGTGGGGTATTTGTATGATGAAACACAAAAAGACAATAATAGTCTAGCTTACCTTCTTCCTTCTGTTTCCTCTCTCTCTCCTATAAGACAAACATAAAACGTGTCAGAGATTAACAGGTGTTAGATCCTTCAACAGGAATGTAAGTGAGAACCAGACACAAAATCAAACTTTCTAGAAGTTTCCTTCACTGTACAAGCCACCACCAAACAAACTTTACCAATTCAAGTTGATTAATATATTTGTAAATTGCATAAAGCATGTACTGTAGCTTGCCAGAAAGCAAGATCAAAGAAACACTTTGAACATGATCTAAAAGACAAGTTGACCACTGTCACTGCAAAGGGACATGTATGTTGTAATTCATAATTGAAAAAGAAAGGTTCCCAAACACCATGAATGAAAATGAAAGTGGGGTGAAGAAGTAAATACGGTACTGCAGAAATAAGACCTGATTTGTTTTTTTTATTCTTGCACAACACTTTTCAAACTTCAGCAAAGACAGGCAAGCAAACAAAAGAGTTGATGGTCTATACCTAATATCCCCATGTTGTTGAGAGTCCTGAATGCTATTATTTCAAGTCATTATGAAAAATAAATATTTGAATAGAATATGATAAAGGTCTGCTTCAATGGAACCATAAAAAACGTCAGGCAAAACCCACAACAAAAACAAAAATGCAAAACAATAACAGCAGCTCCTACATGTAGATATAAAGTTACAACAAGGGAGTCAAATACAAGTAGGGAAGTTAGGAACTTATTCAGACTATGCATTAGTCTACTGTCACCTCAAACAAATAACATAAATCTGTGAAATGTCAATCCGATTTTCATTCACATTTTGGGAGAATTTATTTAGACAAGTACCATTTTTTTTTTGAACAACTAAAATGTAACACCAGCTATATGTACACCTAGATGGAGAAGAAAAAAAAGTTAATATATTGAGAGCACATGTAGGGCTAATAGTATTAGAATATTAGGGGGTAACGTATTTTTTAGTACTAGACTAGTATTCTATTATTTCTATCTTTATTTCTTCAAATAAGGTAGCAAACAATCTTTTTTGTATCATTCCTTGTTAACTGCGAATGTCTTGTTTCCTCCCTTTTATGGAAAAAGTATTAGATCATTATTAAGATCACAACACATCAAGTATCACTATCAAACGATAATGATGGAACGCATGCGTTACCGCTGAAATGTCCCTTGCTCTTTCTGGCCTGTCCTGCTCGTTATCTTTCGTCAACCAAAATGGCTTCTTTTCCTCTCGCCTTCCCAACCTCCCCACCCCACCACCTTCCTCTTTCGCATCTTCCCCCCTCCTAGGAGACCTTGTCGTGGTCGATGGCAAGAACGAGGGCTCGTCAGATTCTGTTTCCTTGGGAGAGTTTGAGAAGGGAGCTTTAAAAGAGGAGTTGGCAAAGGAAGGCTTGTACGAGTCTGTTCCGTTGAAAGAGTTTGAAACTGAGGTACTGGAGGTGCTTTTATTGTTTGATGGGAAATAGGGTTCATATGCGGAAGATTTTGCTTTGCTCCTGGAAGACTTATAAGGATTTTTAGGACCCGAAAAGAAGCTTAGCTGGCCCTGCTCCCCATGACGCATGCCAAGAGAAAGAAGATAGGCAAAAAATTCACAAGTTAATGACGAAGCAAACAATATACTGTAAGCATACAAGTATGCAGCATAAATATGATCTAAAAAGGAAAAGATGACATTAAAAAGTAGACTACACATGTATATGCAACTAACTAAAAGAAACTGTTCATGTCTCGTTCCCTGATTATTTATTTTTTCCAAATTACTCAAGAACTGAAAATATGTCCATTTTAAATGAAGAGAGAAAATTATTTTTATTTGGTATTCACTCAAGTTGTTTAAGTATAAATGCAAAAATAATCCTAACCCAGTCAGAATTTGTATCTGCATGTTTTAGCAAAAGATGCAATAAAAGTATACTGTTAATGATTGAATAGCATACTGTACATGTATCATGGCTTGTCCAAAAATGATTTTTTTTTTTTTTTTTTTTTTTTTTTTTTTTAAAGGTACATGTACATGCCTGTTCATTTACATGAACAGTCTTCTCTCTTGGAGAAATTATTGGTATTGGGTAACTTCAGGGAGATATCTGGATATCAGCTAAGACACACTTTAAAAGTCAGAGACAACAGACAAATGCAGTGGCTTCTTGATAAGCTATTTTCATAAATGAAGAGACCCTTCAACAGGATCATTGGATGGTACAATCATTTTTAATAAAAACATTACCTTCCGTTGCTCTTCTTCTTCTTTCCTCTTCGTTTCCTCCTCTTCCTGCTTTAAGCGCCTTCTCCATTCTTCTTCATCAGCTTGCCGTTTCCTTTGCTGTTCTTCCTTCTCCCTCTTCATCCTCTGTTCTGACCTCATCTTTTCCTCATCGAGTCTTTCCCTCTTCTTAATCTCATTGTCCAAATCGTTCAAGATATCATCATCCTTTTTCGCTGGGGGCGGGAGAGGCTTGAAACCGCCATCAAGATCCAACAAGATCTTGTCATGCTCCGACAGCTGCTTTTTTTCCTCTATCCTTGGAGTAACTTTCTTCTCTTCCGGCTTGACCTCCGGCTTGACCTCCGGTTTTGGTGGTCTTGGGGTGTGATCCGTCTTTCGATTCTCTTCTGCAGAGGACGATCTCTTTATGGTTGGCGCCGGCTTGGTGTTCTTGATGTCGTCATTGGAGGTGGCTCGTGTCTGAGCAAGGGGCCTTGGGGTAGAGTTGAGGGTGTTGTTGAGCTTTGCAGGAGGTTTCATCACGCGATGGCTGTAAATGTTCCTAATATCAAGCTCTTTCTCTTTTTCCTTTGAGAAGGGAAAAGAAATCAAAGAGATTAGATTTTTCAGAAGAGTGATACATTTCATTCATCCACATGCACAGGCATCTATTGTATATGAAGGTGTCAGCTGTGTATTATACTGCATTCCACAAGGGCTCTCTATCCAAAGAGTATTTATTACAGCACTATACATATACACCTGTACATGAGGTCTTCAGCTAATTTGCTCTGTATAACTTATTTTTCTACATAATTCATAAAAGGTGGAAAAAGATACATTTCATAGAGAAAAATATATTCAAATTCCAATTTGGACGATGTTGCATATTTTTTTCCTTTTTCTTTAAAATTGTCTAAACATTTGATAAGAGCATACTTGTAGAATAGCACACAAACAATCCAAAAGCTTGAAAAACTGTACATGTACATGTTTGAACTTAAATTGCGGCGACTTCCTATATTAGTTTAGGACTTTAGGGGGACAAAAATTATACATGTACTTACTTTGAGTTGAAATTTAGTAGTTTGATTTTCCTCCTCAAGGTATGCCACCCTGGCTCTGTACTCTCGTTCACGTTGCTTCCATTGTTCACTGTCATGCCTTACATTCTTCTTCATGTTCTCTACATGTTTCTCAAGCTCCTGAAAATAAAATAAGATACAGGATATTAGGGCTGGCAACAACAAAAACAAATTGCAAGGTACACATGCATATACTACTAGGGAAATCTGCACTTAAAAACAATTCATGAAGGCATACATGTACACTTCTTTGTACATTCATAAATATTTATCAATTAATCAAAAAAAAGTTTTTAAAACTTGAGCACTGTAATGTTGATGCCTGGTTGCAATCACAGCTGAAATCAGATGCAATTCTAACATTTCTATGTGATTCAAGTAAGGTGAGAGAGAAATTGTGTTTGGTTCTCTTTAATTCTCAATGTTTTTTTGCAACTTTCGGGCCCGGCCCCCCCACTCCGAGAACGGACGGACCCCATGCGTGTTGCCAAAATGTCCTTTTCGTAACAAAAGAAAAAGGTCGACCCGTATTGACTTTACACACCGGACTTTTGCTGAAAAGGGGGGGGGGGGGTGCTGAAAAAGGCTTGTATACAAAAGAAAAAGGTCGAGCCGTATTGACTTTACACACCAGACTTTTGCTGAAAAGGGGGGGGGGGGGTTGGGTCGGTTGGAACACACATATGCGTACCCTAAATAACACTGAGTGGGGGGCCGGGCTTTCGGGGAACAATGCAAAATATTTTGCTTTCTCATTTTCTTTCAATATTTACTAAGGCTATCTCACTGGATAGTTGCCTATATGTATACGCAGGCTATTAAAAGCAGTGCACAGGTTTAAAAGAGATCTGCTAAAATTCCAAAGGACTCACATTAACTCTTCTTTCTTTCTCATCAAAATTGTCCTGAAGCCTATCCACTTTCCTCTGCAGCTTATCCCTATCTAACAGGTGCTTGTTGTCTGCCAAGTGTCTCAGTTTCTTCAACTCATCGTTCAACCTATTCAACTCCTCATTCTTGTCCTTCAATCTCCTGTCTTTATCCTTCTCCCTGTCCTGCGTTCTGCGGAGCCTCTCCCGGAGGTTGTCCACTTCCGCCGCATGGCTACGCAGCAATTGCGGCAGTTCCTCATCTTTGTCCTCAAACTTGGCAAGCGATGCTTCTTGGCGCCTCTGCAGTTGTTTCATCAACTTATTTTCCCTGATGGCATCGTCGTATTTTCGCCGCAGATCGTCAAAATCACTTCTGAGCTTGTTGATGGTGTGACCTTTGGCAGAGAGCATTCGTCTCGTGACCTCCGTGCTCCTTGGTGACTGCTGTGCGGCTGTCACGCTTTGTGATCGTCCCACACCCTTCTTCTTTGGAGCTAATGAGAAATGTGACACATTCAAAGACAGGTCAAGGTCATGGGTGATGATGGCCTAGTGGGTATAAATGTGCTGTACTCACTCTTCCAAGGACAAACTGTTTCATCTCCTCATTTCATTTTCTTAAATCCTTTGAGGTCATAAATCAAAATAGAAAACATCAATAGTTATTGACTAAATGGTGATTCAATAAGAGACTCCATGTGTACTAATTGGCATATAATTATAACAAGCATCTAACCCTACAAGGTTTGCTACATATACATGCATGTACATTGTACAGTACATTGCACCTTTATCAGCATTAAAACATTAGTTTTTGTCAAGAAACTGAATAAAGTTGATAAAAAATACAAAATAAATTTCTATTCTTCAAATCAAAGATACCAGCTCACCTTTCTTTACACTAGGTTTAGTTGCTCTGCCGTATGACCGATACGTTGATCTACTATCCTTACTAGTCCCTGAGTTATATCTGCTTGTCGATGTCGATGCCGCGCTCCTCCGAGTTGATTTCCTATTCCTCACTGGGGATCCTCGTCTAGAATCCTGCATGGAATCCTCCGAGTCAAAAGAGTCTGAATAGTCAGGTGTCCTTGACCTTGAGCGGTCATGATAAGATCCGGACGAATCTCTCTTATGCGACGACATGGTGTCCGAATCCGCAGTGAAATTTCCAGATGTCGACGATCGAGAGTGACCCTGCGAGGTCTTTCCAGCTGTTCTGTTGCCGGAGTCGGGTTTATCGTTGTGGGGGGAGTTTGACGAGTGAGAGGGCGGAGTAACGCTCCGATGGTATTCTCCTTTCAAGGTAAAAGGTTCTTCTTTATCTTGGTCTCCATCAGAGTCAAAGAATGAGTCGTTTACATGGTTAGAGCTCATTTTCTGTACAGATCAAAGTAATTCAGACCTTGTCTTTCATCTCTCAGTGGTTTCTGGTATATGTATCTAGGTTCTTGCCAGTGGATTGACTCTGGGGAACAAAGAAAAACAAAACAATGAAAACATTCACCAGAAACTTATCTTGAAGAAAAAAAATCCCAATATTTAAAGTTCTCTAAATAAAGAAAAATAAGAAAAGTCAAAATAATACATACATTTGTACAGTGTACTGTATAATCTTTCCTAATGTTGAGATGAACTCAATTAACCAAACGGTTTGGACTCTAGAGGCTGCTACATGTAATTGTTTAAATTCATTTTAAAGACACATCACACTACAGTAAAAATTATAATAAAACAAAATAGCATAAAAAAACACAGTATGATCCATAGTAGATCTAGATCTATACACAAAGATCCAAACACAACATTTGGAAAGCAAATTGAATCATTTAGCCATTCTTAACATTTTATTATGAATGTCTTGACACTAAATCTAGTATCAATCAATGTGGTTCTTCCTCAAGATAACAGAAGCCAAGGTCTGTGTGAAAGTAACAATTTACAACAGACTTAAATATATTGTGAAATCCTTTATTAAACTGACAAGACCCAAATCCTTAGTGACTAAATTGTAAGACCCCTAATATTAATTAGACTATTTTGCATTTTGACACTTGATTTACACTTAGTCTACACTAGAGTCTAGTGTTTATTATTGACCCTTCAGGTGTCCAAGACACATGTAGACATTGGTCCAGATCCAGTATAAATTGGTAGAATTGGTTGTAAAGTCTAGAATAGATTAGATAGTTTGTATATCTCAGTTTTACCATGAATGTGTTTCTCTTTCACAAGATCATTTTTTTCAATTTTGAGTTTCACCTTGGGCTCAGTGTGGTTGATCATCAGTATCACTATCACTATCACCTCAGGCTCTGCTCTGGGTTACTTACAGTTATAACTAAATATTGTATAAAACTGTCATGCAATCAGAAATCTAGACAATACATATGAAAACATGATACAAAGAACATTAGGCTATTCAAAGACTAGCCCGTCTGGAAAGCAAACCCACCCCACGTCCCACTTGATCGCTCAACCGGAAACGCACACACGGAAGGCGTCTGGTCCGCGGAGCCGAGACACAGGGAAATTCACTGGAGCCGCATGAAACAGATCACGATTGAAGCAGAAATCTACTCAATATATTGACGAAACTAGACAAATTATCACCTAAAAACGCGACGATATGTATCTATGATACTTAGAATTTCTTACAGTTGTTTCAAAAGAGAACCAGGTGAGTAAACATTTCGAATTATAGCCTAATTTCATGTCGTCCTCGCGAGCAGACTTGGCGATGAACACAATCAGCGAAGAAATTAAGGCACCTTTTCGGACATCTCTATGCGGCTAGCCACGGGGAGTGGTTAACCTTGAAAACAAATCGACAGCGCATCGACTTCATAGCTGAAAAAATGGTATTTTGCACCAGCCGAAGAAATGAAATACATATTGATAGCTATGAAAATAACCAAAATGCACATACCTTGACATTATTTGACTTGACGAACATTTTTATCTAAAAAATCTGTTTCATTTTGACATTTGTGTGTGTGTTCCTGGCCAAATTCAATGAGAGGCTGTGGTATTTCGTCTTCGTCGCGGGCATAGCGATAGCATTGTTTTGAAACGCAAATATGGCAACCATGTGACGTTTCTGTCTGTCGCCATCTAGCGTTCTATAATGTATAAGCGGTGCCCGTCTTGAGTAATTTCATAACAAAATAAGAAAAACATAGGCCTAATTACTACTAAATAATAGGCCAGTACGTGAGCCTCTCATTATTTTTGCATGATTTCTTGTATGATATCTTACTTAGATACGTGTACATAAATTTGACCTTCCTCCCACTTTTTATTTTAAATGCCCTTGAGATAGTCACAAAATCATTAAATCGACTTGAGAGGCCATGGAAGGTGAGGGTGAAGAGGAGGGAGGGGGGGGGGGGGGGGGGCATTGCCCTATTTCTTTAGTGGTTTTAACTCGATCAAGTTTGACGATCATAAACGGCAGTATAATCATGACCTTGAAGTAGATATGCGGGTACAAAATTGATGTGATGGAAGATGCTTCCTAATTTAAAATAATGAACAGTTTATTAGCATTTCACTTCCTTTCGCTTGCTAAACTTATTCTGTAATTCTATTACCGTCATTTTGTGTGTGAAGGATAAACTTGTCTGTAATCACATCGGCGTGGATTTAACATAACAAGTTAAGTAAATTGCGTTTTGAAAATTTGCAGTTGAACAAAAATTAATTATAAGTTCTAGGCCTACAAATTAACACTAACTTTGAGCAAGATTATTTTGATGTATTCTCCATATTCAATATTCAATGCGTCAATATTAATGGAATTGAAAGTTTTTCTTCAGTTTTTTTAATTTTGTTTAATCTGGGCATGACTGCCTTATTTTATGGGGGCGTGGGGTGGGTGTATAATTTGTGTTTTCTTCAACTTATTGTAGGATGTCTTTTTGTCTTTGTACATTTGTATTTAACCTTGTACATGTATCTACATGTGTACTCTAGACATAGTATCATTTTGGAACCAGTTATCAATGATTATTCAAAACAACATTCTCTGAAATGATTCTTCATGAAACTTTTTTTGTGACAAAAATTATTCATCTGTGACTAGAAGCACTCTGTTTTACAACTTTGAAGACTTAAAATTGCCCCTGTTTTGTAAATTGTTTGAATTCTCTAGATCTAAGAGGCCACGGTTAGCAAAAATTATTCCCGAAAAAAATCTCTGAATGATTCTTTAAGAAACTCTTTTGTGACGAAAGTTGTTCATCTGTGAATGAAAGCACTCTTTTTTTACAACCTTGGTCTGCTTTTTCAGTATTTTTGATAAAGCGTTCATTAAAAACAATAACATTGAAAAGGGCGATCGTATTGCGGGATTACCATTAAAACAGATTATTATGCGAATTTTCGTAGCGGATATACTCATTCCTCCGTCAAGGGGGTATACAACAAATTAAATGAAGAATGCCGAAACGTATTATTAATGTCAATATGTTCCGAAGATTCGGACAATAAAAGGTTTGTCCATTAGCAGTCATTGAATGCATTATGATTTTCTTAATCTGTTATTGTTTGACGCTAATAAGTGGCTACTAACCGATAGTATGCCTATTTTTGTTCTGTATGGATCCATTTTTGGATATTTGGTAAACACATTGACTGAAAACATCTACACAATGATCTTAGCCCAATGTATTATTTTTTTAGGCCTATATACAAAACCACTAACAAAGAGTATAAAGCAGAATGTATATGGTTAAATATGTTTTTTTTTACCGGAAGGTTATATATTCTCGAAGATACTTCAATCCGACGGGAAGTTATTATAAAGGTTTGTTATTCCGATAGTTTAAGAAATGAAATATAAGTGTATACCTGATTCATTCTATATTATACGAACCTTCTTTGATTTTCATTTTCGGAATGATGAATCTCGGGAATTACGCGCCAAATGTTAGAATTGTGAACCTTGTTTTTTCTTCTTCTCATTTTGGTATTATAGTCTATTGACGTTTGTACACGTGCTTGGAATTATAATGACTTCTGAGCAAAGTACCTTCGGAAGTACGAGTGCCCCACCCCCCCCCCCCCCCTGATCGGAAAGCCGAGTATAACATCAACGGTGAATGATGGGATAGGAAACGTAAGCGCCAGGAGTGGTTTAAGAGAGGCTGGGGGGGGGGGGGGGGGGGGGGGGGGGGGGAGGTAGGTTAGCTCCCCAAACATTTCCTTAAGAGCCCTAAAACAAATTTTCGCGAGGCACATAAATACAAAAAAGAATTCAAGAAGCCAAGCCCACCCCTAAATTATTCTTCTGTAACCGTTCTTGATAATTGCTATGATGAAACTGCATGCCACTAAAAATATATAAATATTACACCCCTACATAAATATTGTAGTCATATTGGTATTTCGAATCGATGTTGCATTTTCCTTGTGCATTTTCATCATGTAGGACAAGATGTATGTGAACTGCACAGTCATTGATGCCAGCACAGTCAGCTGTAATGGGACCGACTACCTGGTTGAAGTACCACCCCTAGGGCCGGATGAGCCTCAGTTCTGGATCTACATCGGAATCTACATCGGTTTGATGCTGTTTGCTGGTGAGATTCAGTGGCGTAGCCCGGGTCCAGATATTTAGGTGTCTCTGGCTGTCTGGCATCACTATTGGGGGGGGGGGGGGGGGGGGGCGATCTAGATAAAGTACAAGGCATCCAAACAGACGGAGGGTTTTTATTAAAGGGGTCCCATCATCTTCTTTCAACTTTTCCTATTTTCTCTCCTTTTTTCCCCCATAGTTGGTACGGGGGCCACGGGGGCACTTTCATTATTCCCCCCCCCCCCCAAAAAAAAAAAAAAATAAAAATAAAAATAAATAAATAAATAAATAAATACAAAAAAAAATAATAATAATAATAATAATAATAAAAAATAAAAAATAAAAAATAATAAAATTTTAAAAAAAATAATAATAAAAAAACATAATGATAATAATAATAATAATAATAATTTCTAAGTTTTGTTTAAGTTTTTAAATCAGACGAGAAGCTACAATTTGAATGATTAAAAAAAGAAAATTGAGATATGTGCATCGGTTTGAAGCCAGTAACAAGAAGGACGTCAACCAAGTTCGAAGAGAAGTAATACATTGATCATGTCCCAAATTGCTTTCAGGGTTGGTGGCCGGCTTGACCCTCGGCCTCTTATCACTGGACATCACCACCTTACAAGTTCTCTCTACGGCCGGTACCCCGAGCGAGCAGGTCTACGCGACCCGTATCCTTCCGTTGGTCAAGAACTCTCATCTCCTCCTGGTCACTCTCATTCTGGCCAACGCCGCGGCGGTCGAGTCCATGCCAATCTTTCTTGACCACGTGACTAACCCTATCGTCGCCGTGGCCGTTTCGGTAACGGCGGTCCTCATCTTCGGAGAGTAAGTCGGTTTGGTATTCCGGACCGTTATAGACACAGGGTGGTATTCTGGTAGCGCGTACTAAGTTAGCGCGCACTAAGTTAGTCAACACTTTTATGGAGTGCCTGTTGTCAACTCATTTATCCTGTACAGATTATTTTAATCCTTCAATGAAAAGTCTCCAAAAAAATAATTTTGCAATGAAATGGGAAGAAAAAGATAATATGAGTATGAACTGAATTTCCAAAAAGTCTTTGGTAGATTATCTTTGTCATGAATATTGAAGGAGGAAGATGAAACCTAGCATTCCATAGAAGTGTGAACTAAAATTCTTGTTTAATCTGGACTTAATCCCGGCTTAACTTATGAGAATACCACCCACAGTGCTTAAAGCCTTTCAAAGATAGGGGCATGCATACAAACAAAAACAGTCAACATTATTCTAATTCTTTTCCCATCGATCGCGAGCCAATCGTAATAAAGCTGAGAAAACTTCACAGATTTGAACACAATGCGCCGGCCTTGGTTATGGCAAGCTTCAAGAAATCAAAATTATTTAAACATCTACATTTCCTCTTCAATTTCGCAGTCTCCTTTTTTTCCTCATCCCAATGTTGACTCTTTTTTTGGTTGAATATATAGAATAGAGCAACTTATTATATCTTTATTAGATCACCCAAACCGTTTATTGTCTTTGTTTTCACACCCTTAGCAGTTTTGTTTCCTACTATTCAACCGTGTATGTAGTTTTTAATGTTGTTCTTATTTGTTTGTTTTCTCAAGACGTAGAAATAACATTATATCCTTTATATTTTAAGAGACTATTAATCTCATTCAAATTTAATTAAATACCCGCATCTTTCACAAACTGTTTCAATGATTTAATTCTCAATGTTTTACTCTGAAGCTTTTTTTCTTTTAAAATGCATTACAGGGTAATACCGCAGTCGATCTGCTCAAAATATGGACTAGCTATCGGAGCAAATATGGCATGGTATGTATAGTACATGATTTACAAGGGTGTATTACCCTTCCCCAATCTTCCCCCAACCCCTCCTCCAATCATACTAAAGACACCAAACTAATCGAAATAAAAATAAGTGCTTGGACCCGACGTCTTTTGGGGTCCAAGCACTCTTCATAAAAATAGTTTTCTCAATCAAAAACTTATAAAAATGTTCGTCAAAGCTCGAGTTTGGAGGTGGGTTGCTTTTAATATACGAAACGCCCAAACGGCTTGAGCCCCCGGGCATGATTTGCACTTGCCTTGTCTCTCCCTTGCATGCGGTACCCTGTAAATACCTTCCAAAAAGGCGCAAATATATTATCACAGGGATTTATGTGTTTATATCAGCGTGAATTATCGAAATCTTCAATCAACAACAATACTAATAATCCAATCAAAGTAGGCAATTCTTAGAACATAATTGTTGATCAATAGAAACTATTTGATTGCACGTATATGGCACTCATAAGCCTTCACTGAGAACATCTTATTGTGTTTTGTATTTCTCTGTAGGTTTGTCTATATTCTCATCGCTCTAACCTTTGTAATATCATGGCCGATCGCCAAGCTTCTGACATTATTGCTAGGAGAAGGAATTGGGACGTTCTACCGCAGATCAGGTTCGTTATAGTGTGGATACTTTTCTTTTGGGTCTCTCACAAGTTTGGCGAAACACGAACGACTCTTGATCGATAGCGTATAAGTACGTCTTGGAAGACATGACTGTACATCAAAACTTCTAAGTGATATTGGCTACTGACCCGGAAAATCAATATAAAATGATGTTAACTTGTTGCTATCATCCACTCACTCAGGTTCTTCTCTGACAAACATCTCATAACTATTAAATATTTCTTTTATTTCAATTGAAAATTATTATAAAACCACGTGTTTTCGTCAAATATCAGTCATTTATAAATTAATAAATTAAATTCAGTCCATTAATAAATTAATCCTTCGACCAATATTTTCATAACAGTCCACAATGAAATAGGACTATGCCAGGGTCGGTAAGCTCAATGCAGTCTCATGTGTAACGGGATATCACTTTGTAGACCCTTGAAAATCTCTCCATCGTTATCGCTCATGCCTTCGTCCTGAAATACTGCTCATTTTGTTTGCAATCATTTCAACTTTATTCTTATTAGAACGCAGAAATATAAAGCAATCAAATAAACAATCTTTTTACACCTTTGACAGAATTAAAAGCTCTGGTTGACATCCAGGCGACCTCCCCCGAAGCAGCTGCAGAAGATAGCGCCCTCACGAAGGACGAAGTGCTAATCATCAAGGGTGCTTTAGACGCGGAGGGCAAGGTTGCCAAGGACGCCATGATACCTCTTGATGACACCTTCATGCTGGACTACTACGGCGTCCTAGATAGGACCATCATGCAACAGGTTTGGAATAAACACATCATATATTTATGTGTATGGTGTCGGCTGTTCTAGTCCGTTTTTCGTTGATGCAATACCGGCAGATTAATGGCCATGGTATTTGCAATTCATATTCGGATAGTGGCTTTATAACTGATAATAAACAAACGTAAAGAATAAGGTACGGATCATAACAAATTGGTTGATTTAGAAACAACAACAACAACAATAACAACAGTGTCGAAATTTCCTGACTGCCATTTTATTCGAAAATTGGGTGACAATTTTTTTTCTTTTTTTTCTATTTTTTTTCCCCCTGTTTCTTTTTACCGCTTTACTAAACGTCACAGTTCATTGTAGGTATTGTTCGATTAATAGTACAAAACAAAGTTGATCGTGTCCGATAGGACTGTGAAAATAAAGGACATATTCATGTTCGTTAGGTCTGGGTTTTGTTTCTTTTCTTTTCTTTCATTTACCACTGGGTCAATTGGAAGCATTGCTTTACGATTTTCGTTCTTTAACATTTTCTATATGTTCATCTTATCTGACTTCATTTCAGACACAGGTTTCATTTTAAACATAAACTAAAGCACATTACATGTGTATCAATCATTATCAAAATCCTTTTTAGCTTATAGCCAATGGTTACTCGCACGTACCCGTCTACAAGGACGACCGTAAGAATATCCAAGGTGCGTTTGTGGTCAAGAACCTTATTATCCTCGACCCCGACGACAACGAATCCATCTCAACATCTCTCGAACAATACGGTCGCCCCCTCCATTCCATCGCGGCCACCAAGCCCCTCTATAACATTCTAGACGAGATGATGGACGGGAAGTACAGGATGGCGGCCATTTACGACAATCCAGCGATCTTGCCGATCTTGCCGACTATAGACGAGGCTGATGGTAACGTCCCGAGTACGCCTACGCTGCCAACTACGACGTCACAAACCGGATTGGTAGGTGGTGTTAGGGTATTCCTGTAATAGTGCTGCCGTCGATAGTGGAGAGAGGATGCTGTTGTTGTTGTTGATGATGATGATGATGATGATGATGACAACGGTGATGAAGTCGTAGTGGTAGTAGTAGAAGAAGAAGACTGTATATGATAACTTGTTTAGCACAAGCCCCAATCCAATGATGATGATGATGATATAAGGAGGAGGATGAGGATAACAGATTATGATAATGGCAATGGTGACGACGACGTTGCTGATACTGATTACGATGGTGATAATGACAAGTTCATTAATGAGTGGTTTTAACAACAATCAACTTGAGAGAACACAAAACTGAAGGAGTGTTCGGAAGATATTGCTCGATTGAGCGTAAACAAAATAATTGGAAAGGCTGAGAGTAATATATTAAAATGATATAATAAAATAATAGAGCATACGAAAAAGAAGCTAAAAATAACAATCATCAGTGATAATGGCTCCTTTCACCTGTTTCATCGGCAGAACATCATCGGCGTCATCACGCTATGGAACGTTCTGGAGGTGGTTCTAGGTGAACCAATCATCTCCTCAGATGACGTCTACGCCAGTGTACGCCAGAAGGTCGAAATGGGAAAAGTCAAAATGGTCCGGTCGCTCAGTGCTAACCCTATGGGTACCACTGCAAGCCACTTCGGATCCATTAACTCGCCACCATCTCCGGCTCTTACGGTAAGTTGGGTTACCGACTACACTCAAGTCATAGGAGGAGGTCGTTGATGAGGGATTGGATTTGCGTTATTATATCTCTATTATACCTTGTATGCTTCTCAGTGTGATGCACATGTCCCCCTCCTTCTCTCACCTCTCTCAAAGTTTATATTTCTCATTATCTAATACTCAATGTTGGATAGTTTCTGCGCTCTTTAAATGTATAATTATTATTATTATTATTACCTCACTTATCCGTCATTTGTTTTTTCTTCTCTGCAGCCCCAGCCGTCCACTGCAGAGAACACACCGCTTTTGTCCCCTGACAACTTTTTTTGAGTGGTACCGATTCCCCCCTGCCAACTTCATCTCGTGCTGAATAACTCGCTATCATGTCAAACGTGGTTGTATGTCAATACTGCGGACCTACCTTCGAAACTCAACAGTCGAATACTATTCTTGTGACGTGTTCCAAGTTAGACATACACGCAAGATAAAAATCAATATTTTTACACGATGTACATTAGGAAACATACAATAGGGTTATGAATTGTAGTGTTGTTATTCATATTTTCATGTAATTAAATGTAACACGTTGTGGATTTTTACAAATTGTATTCACTAAAAATGAATCATGAAGCCATTAAATGAGTACAGTAAGAACAAAGATGAAAGTTTGCTTATACTGTAACGGTCGGCTGATGCTAACTTCATATTAACATAATCAAGTGATTCCATTACTTATTAAAGTTGGAATATTATTTCTTACATATTTCCATAAAGTGATGGCGACAATATGGTTTATTCTTCAGAGATAACTTTTAAATCTTCTCAGAACTTTAGTGATCAATCTGTTAAAATGTCATATTTATTGATAAAAAAAGTTCTGAGAATATATAAAATTATTGTCATAATCATTTCATGAAAATAGGTAAGAACAATTATTCCAACTATATGAGCAACAGCATATGATCACAAGTAATAAGTTCAGAAACATAACATGGCACAGCTGTGATCTTCTCAATCAGATTATCTCTTGGTCATGAAATATGTATGAAATAGATATAATTTTAAATTCAAATTGTACCATTGACAGGTGGAGATATACATGTACATGTAGATGATTTACTTAGGCCTATATTTGTTTATTCAGCAATTCACGAAATGTGTTCATACAATGAAAGCGTGTCATATGCTAAAACGTGAAAATATATTTTAAGGCCTAAATAAATTTGTGCACACTGGTTGTTGTAGCTAATATATCGAGTGTATTTTAACCGAAGCACTATTGTCAAACCTGCGACATATTTGCACACCGATACATGGTCCTGTTTGTACTTCATCTTGTACGTTTAAGGGATATGCGATCGCGGATCGTAAATACAAAGCTATTCCCCTTGACTCTTTAGTCATGACAAGAGTATAAAGGAATGTCCATAGACGTTGTACTGTATGACTAAAGGTCGAGTAGAATTTTTAGATTGTTTATATAACGTGTTTGTACTTTAATAAGGTAAATGAGTCTAGTTTAATAATTGTTATGGGTAATAAGATTACCTATTTATACGACAAAACTATATTAGGTGATATAATGCTTGGAATCGTGTGAAATGTCACAAATCTCATTTAAACTTGATAATGATAATATTGATAGGAATGATAATACAAATAATAACAATGATAATAACAATCATAATCATAATAATCATAGTAATACAAAAAAAAATAGTATACTACTACTACCACTACTACTACTACCACCACCACTACTACTACTCCTACTGATAATAATGATAATAATGATAATAATAAAATATATAATAATAATAACGATTATAATATTGATTATAATAATGATGAAAAGAAGAAGAAGAAGAAGAAGAAGTGGAAATATAATGGCTTTTTGTAATGCACCATCATCATTTGCTCAAAGTGCTCGATGCGCTGAGAGTGTAAATGTATATGGCGCGAATACAGACTCCATACTGACTCCACATCCACTCAAAACCGACCAATAATATTGTTGGCTATTCGAGGTTATGTAATACTTTGTTCGGTATGTTGTCGCTCTGTGTCGGCTTCGTGGATGCGACTTGGGTATGCTCAATTATGCTCGTTGAATAGCATATAAAAACTGAAGGGGAAGGGTGTGTGTAGGACGGACGCTTAAATGTGACCCTAAAAAAATAACGAAGCAATAATATTTGATACCAATATAATATGCAGGAACACTTCCGTTCTGTTATGCAGGTAGGATATGGCTTGTTTGAATCAAGTCGTATAACCTTTTTTTATATTTATACTAAGAAATTCTGTGTTTCATACCCCTGTATACAGTACTTAACTATAGTTCATCAAAATCTCTTGTGAATGTAAATGCACTTAGTGTGTGATGAAATGAAATAATTCACATGCAAAAGGACCATTGGAGGTAAGTGTGAGAAGCAAAGAGTTGTTTGACTGGCTGTCCCAAAATACCTGAAGCTCTTTACTTACCTCCTTTATTGGCACCATCAGCGTCGTAAATTTGTATAAGCCATAAATGAAAATGTGTATGTCATGTGCACCTTCTCGTATGACCTGAAAGTAAAGATTATTATGGGCGTAGTTTCAATTAACAGCTTTGCTAACTAACACAATGCCAAAATTAATAGCGATGGAAATATAATGAATAAAATAAGTAATTAATAAAGATATGATTTCGGGCAAGAAGGTTTAGTTTTTTGAGTGTCCAACAGAACTTAGATCTGCTTAATTATAAGGCATAACACATTTGTACGAGATAAAGAGAGAGGGGAGAGAGAGAGAGAGAGAGAGAGAAGGGGAGAGAGAGGGAGGGAGAGAAGGGGAGAGAGAGAGGGAGAGAGAGAGAGAGAGAGATGAGGGAGGGAGGGAGAGAGAGAGAGAGAGAGGGGGGAATGAGAGCGAGAGAGAAAGAAAGAGAGAGGTAAATTTGTTCGTAAAAATAAGAGAGAGTGAATCAAAATACAATTATAGAGAATCAATAACATACAATAAAAATGATTGTCCAAAAATATCGGTCTTTAAAAGTAACATGGAATGGGAAAATGAACATTGATTGAGACATAATATATTTATTCGTAAGAGTCGAAGTAACTAATAGTAATTGTCACTCATAACATACTCTGAATCTCTGATGTGAAAAGGGGAATTACAAGCTCATTTTAATGAATTTTGAATAATTACTTTCAATGGAACTCCCTCAATTTAACAAATAATTCGAGATTTCACTGAATGGTTATTCTATGCACTGGGGCTCACCGGCTTTCTGTATAAGACGGTTTGAAAGCGAAACAAATCATTCAGTGGTTCCTTAACATATGGACGATTTGACCTACAAGCAGTAGATACAATCATGTATGTCGTTATTGTTTAGGAGAACGCAGTAATTACAGCGTGCATCCGTATATTTTAAAGAACTAGACACTGTCTCCATAAAATTAAGTACCCATTTAAAAAATTTGCTGGTAATGCCTGCATTGTGCGCATCCTTGTATGATCATCTAAATAGCAAAACATAAATAAATTCCTAAATAAATTAGTAAAATTAATAAATGGGTGCATCGATTAATTAATTAATAAATGAATAAATAATCAAGTGGATAATCTTTGAAAGAGAATCACAAGGAAACTGCATTCTAATACTCGACAAAACACTTCAGCGGTTTTAAATTTTCCTACAGGGTTCTAAATTACGATTTTCTTTGGATGACTTCGAGATAGACGATATTTCCTAAAGTTTCATTTTCCCACGAAATTAAAGTCACCTTACGAAAGAAGATATGTAATATAATATCTTGATATAAGCATAGAGATTGACAACAAAATTTATAAATGCATGATTAAACTCATCTTTATTTCAATTTAATTTTGGCCTTCCCATTAAATTACAATCACATTAAAGGAGATGACCCTAATTACAGGCAATGCTCACTACTGATCTCTACGATTTTTTTTTGGAGAGAGAGAGAGAGATCAGTTGAGGTACTGACTATATAAATGCGTGACAATACATCTATACCTAACTTTCAAAACGTCTGGTAGCTAGGCCTATAAAACATGATGTAGGTAGAAAAGTAAGAAAAATGTCCATTCAAGCGTAATTAATAAGGTTATGAAAAAGACTGGTATCGTCCCCATATAACTTTAATACCTTCTTGGAGTATGCCTCCATTTGAATCAACTAATGGCATGTTCAAATTCGCTTACACATACTTAACTTATGGCCGTTAATGTCTTTCGGCGACTTTATCCCCACAAATACTGACTGAATCTACTTCCGTGTTCTAACTGTTCGAGTTTGTTCCCGACACCAACCGGTATTTTTCGTTGAGGTTCATCATTAAGCCGTGTTCAATCTGGGTTCATAAGGCGTGTTTAATCTAGCTTTTCTTTGTCTATCATATAGACATTCAACGTTCCGCCAAGATGACGAATATCGCTATGGAAACAGCCGGTATGTCTTCATCTTCTGTAGATTTCAATAACATGAGTGATACCATGGATTATTCTCGAGACCACGTGTGTAATGCATCCTCTGTGCAGGCTTTTGTGAACACCCTCATGCAACCCAATCAGACTTGGTTTTGGGTCTATCTAGTGCTCTTCATCATCTTTACGTTTGGTTCAGGTAATGAAACTATCAGAAACACTTAAATGCATGCAATATTGATCTAAATTTGCCGCACTCAACCCAGGTGAGGTGAATGGGTACCTGGTAGGATTATTCCTTGAAATGCACTGTGCGCTGATTACGGCTGCCGGAGCTAAAGCTAGGGTAATGATTTCCAAAGGTCTTTGGAAGCGCATAGAGACGTTATATAATGTGATATGCGCTATACAAGAACCGAATATTATGATTATTGATATACCGCAGGCACTTGTAGTTGACCACTTGGGCTCAGTCAAACGAGACCGATAGTCCAAAGAGACCGACAGTTTCGCACTGGCGAATTTTTCTGAAAAGTGATCTGAAGGTTCACGACACATTCTGCCAGTCTATATATCAATTTCTCTCCTTGTGTAAGTGGACCACACTCTGTCAACTGCCAACGGGCTCGGCACCATGACCCCCCCCCCCCAGCCCCCAATTCACACACAATTTTGGGTGGAGAAAAGATGACATTTTGTAGAGGCTTGTGTCGGCTATATTATTCCCCAGCGATGATGACCCTTTTGTGCATTATTGATGTTGAATTCGTTGTTGTCTGTTTGTCGATTGTTTTCCCCGCTTTGTCTCGTTTCGTTTTTTTTTTAATGTTTTTTTTCTTCATTTGTTTGTACTGACAGTTAAGGCTATCTTGCATAAAGCAAAATGTCTACTCCCTCCCTCTTTAATCGACATTATCTAGTGATACGCCTCTGAGCAATATATACCTCTCATTCTATCTTCATCTCTATATCTCTCCCATAGGCCTGTACTCGGCCCTCACAACCAGCTTCTTCTCCCAAGACGTCACCAGACTCGAGGTATGTCTCCGCCAGGGTTGTCCGAGCGAAAGGGACTACGCCACCCGGGTCATGCGGCTTCTGAAGTACCCCAATTTGCTGATCGTTACCCTCAATATGGGGAATGTAGCCGCCATCGTGTGCCAGCCCATCGTCCTTGCTTACATCATAAGCCCGGCATTGTCCATCCTGGTGTCGGCTGTGACCGTCTTTATCTTCAATAAGTAAGTTTGTAGAACATGTATAAGGATCCAATCATGCCAAATGGAGAACAGTTGTAAATGCCACTAAAATGGGCTATCCCCCATGTTAACATATGAATTTCTATGTAACATTTATTTTAACTTTCTAATTGTTGCTATATAAATACAAAACATCGATAAGTTTGTATCGTTATTATGTGGAATAGATATAGGGTCAACAGCCAAAATTTAAGGGGTAATCCACCCTGATATTAATTTGAAGTTAATTGCACCAGGAAATGAGAGAAACAGGTCAGTGAAAGATTGAGCAAAAACCGATTAAGGATAATAAAGTTATTAATTGTTCAAGATGCGATCAATCAAACAAAAATTGGTGAGTTCCCCTCCAATTTGCAATGTTTATACATTCACCCTAAATATAATATATAAGGTTCTATGACAATCGTCAATATTGAATCTTGCCCATTCTAATCCTATCTATTATTCCGCTTGGGTCTAATTTTGCGCAGATTATTCGTTTATTAACAAATTCATTCTGCTTTTCTCCCTCACTGCAGGATACTCCCACAACTGATTGGCGACCGGCATGGCCTAGTCCTGGCAGCTAATATGACATGGTTAGACTTCCATCAACCAAATTAAATGTTTGTTCGTTTGTTTGTTTTACCTGACTGCTAGGAAAGCATTGTATGCTTAGGGACCTACGGCTTTAAGTCGTATCCAATGGGTTTGGTAATTAGGATTACTACCTTACAACAGGGTACTAGCGAATCGACTTGGTTTCGAACCCGGAATCTCCCGGTAGCGAGACCACTGCTATATACCAGTGAGTCATTGAAAAATATTCAAATCGTCAGAAAATGGGGATAAAGTGATAATTTAATATTAACCTATTATATGTTGCTTATCAACGGAGAAAGTTGATTTGAATATAAGTACCCGCAACATATGATACGATAACGGTATCAAACGTTAAAGACTCCATACTTAAATTCCGTCATATCATTTTAATACTAACTTAAGCTGGTACCTTGAAGAGAATCCATATTATATTATCGTGACCCCATCAAACAGCCATAGAAACAAGGAATGCAAATTTTAGTAAGGGATAGAATGATATGTAGCGTGTTTAGATCAATATACACAAATGATATTTATAATCATGACAACAGATGCAGCTATATAGAGGGAGCTTCCGTTCCACAAACAAAAAGCAAAACTGTGAAAAACCGTTCAAATATAGATAGGATATTTTCCGGTTGGCATGGTTTCATTCTTAAGATGAAATTGAATTAAATTGAATTGAATGTATTCACTACTTCCAAAATCATAGAAGGCAATAAAAAAAAAAGATTTCTTACAAATATAGAAAAGACAATGAATTGGAAAATACACTAAAGGTAATTACGAAGTTGAGGGATCATCAAAAAGTTACAGAAACTTATATAGGCAAAGGCTTTCGAGAAAGAAAAATCAAATGTCAGGCAATTTCAATAGCCTTGTCCGCCACCCTTTGAAATAAGGGTCCATTACAAAGACACACATGGCGTGTGTAATGCGCACACGATTTATTTGGGATATACAGTTGGCTATTGAAAATGTACTTGAGTTGATTTCTCGAAAGTCTTTGCGACAACGTTCGACTTCACTCTCCAAAAAACTCGACAAATAGGACATATCCGTGAGTTCGATGCTGGGTCATTGAATAGCCTGGGTGCGTTTCACAGAGACTAATATCGACGTTAAGTTGGACTAAACTATGGAAGGCTGTTCATGCCACTGTTTGCTTTCACCATTATGATCTTTGGATAATAATTTTCCTTCAATAATGAATAATCAACAAAATGTAAAATCTGTATATTTGTGACCATGATTTATAAGTCCCTTGAGAGACCAATGTACACGTGAGAGCAAATAGTGGCATGAACGGCCTGACATAGTAAAGGCCATCTTAAAGTCGATCTTAGTCTCTGTAAAACACTCCCCAGAAAGATGTATCTCACCTCTCCACTAGGCCACTAACATCACCCCGTAAAGGGGGTGGGCAGTGGGCAGAGAACCTTATGAATACAATAACAGAATGATATCATTATCTATTCTTTCATAATCTGTACAGGTTTGTCTATCTGTCTATTGCCGGTTTTTTCATCTTGGCTTGTCCCGTCGCCATGCTACTATCAGTAGTTCTTGGGAAAAGAAAAGATAGATTCTACGAGAGATCGGGTAAGAAAGGACTGAGAGGTGAAGAGAAATGGCACATCCACCTTTCTTTCTCTTAAAGGTACTATGTCCCATTTGCAGGCCAAAAAAATAAAAAAGTTAAATTCCAACTGCATTTGAAAGATAATACTAATTTAGAACTTCCCTAAAAAAAGTGAGGCTTGAAAATGTCTTCAAGTGGGAAAATAACGACTATTAGTTGTCAAATCGACTTTAGGGCTATAGAGCCCAAAAGTAATAGTCTTGATTTTCGGACAATTGTACGGAATGGTCATATGTTTTATGTTGCGCAAAGATTCAATCAGTTTAATCTTGGCCATCACAAGAAGTGGGTTATTGATGTAGACAAATGCTCATGTACCCTTTACAACTCTTTTCATGTATGTTATTACCAAAGAAGAAAAAGCCAGTCAGTCACTCAATAGTGCCTGACAGTGAAGTCTAGCAAATAAATGGGTTTCCTTGCATAATTTGAATATGAGGACACTGCTAACGTTTAAATTCCGCAGATAGGACATACATGACATATTCATAATTCCTGCAAAGTTCTACAGAATTTGAGGTAGGCTGCAAAAGGGACATAGTACCTTTAACAGGCTTAGGGTTCGAACCTTGTGGAATTTAATCCTATACCATGTATACCTCTCTCCTATGATCGGTGAGTTAAAAGGGGTTAGTCTTGCCTTGCATAAGGAAGATAACAACTAGGGTAAACACTTGCTTTGCATATAAGTTCTGAATCTCGAGAGATTATAGGAGAGAGAGAGAGAGAGATGGAGAGAGAGAGAGAGATGGAGAGAGACATGGAGAGAGAGAGATGAGATAGGGAGAAAGACAGACAGCCAGGCAGAGAAAGAGGAAAAATGAACGCACCTGAAGAATACTGATGCTGATTAACTAATGAGGGCCTATCACAATCAAATCCTATACATCAATCCTCATAATTGCTAATTCTAGTCTTGTATTAAAAACAACAAATGTTGCAAATGTCCCCTATACTTTTCAGAACTGAAGGCCCTGATAGAACTTCAGATGACGTCCCCAGACGCCGCAGCTGAGCAACACACCCTGAGTCCTCATGAGGTCCTCATCATCAAGGGCGCACTGGATGCTGAGAGTAAGGTTGCCATGGATGCAATGATACCACTGGATAAGGTCAGCATGCTGGACTATGATGGTGTCTTTGATCGCAAAACCATGCACATGGTAGGTAGTGATGCAGGTGGTGGCGGTGGTGGTGGTGGTGGAGTTGGAGGTGGTGGTGGTGTTAGTTGTGGTGGTAGTGGTGGTGATTGTGATGGTGAGGGGTTGTGGTGATGATATTGATGATGATGATGATGATGATGATGATGTTAATGCCGGTGGTGGTGGTGGTGGTGGCGGTGGTGGTGGTGGTGGTAGTAGTAGTAGTGATGATGGTGGTGGGAATGTAGAGATCGAGGTGATTGTTGTAGTTGGTGACGATGCTGCATTGTTTCGGTAATGATGGTGATGATGATTGTTCTGTCGGTGGTAGTACTGGTTTAGGCGGTGTAGTGGAATTATAATAGTAGTCATGAAGTAGCGATGACGGCGGGAGTTTTTTTTTAAAATCCTGTTGGTAGTGTTGTTGGTGGTAGTGACAATGGTGGTGATGGGGGTAACGGTACTGGTGGTGCAGACGGCATTAGTGGTGGTCATAGTGGATGAACGTGCAATAGCATCTGTCAAATACCATTACTACTTTTTTCCTTTTAAATGTCTAATAACATGAATCCATTATCTCTCTTCGACAGCTTGCATCACAGAAGTTCTCTCACGTTCCAGTCTACATGAACCATCGTAAAAACATCAAAGGCGAGTTCGTGGTCAAAGACCTAATCCTCCTGGATCCCAATGACAAGGGGCTGATCTCACAGTCTTTTGATAGATACGGTCGGTCCCTCAACTTTATCCCGTCTAATCGACCCATCTATGATATCTTTGATGATATGAATCTTGGGCGTTACCGAATTGCCGCCGTTTTCGACACTCATACCGGAGTAAGTTGATTGGACCCCTCTTGTGTTCTTATTACAACCAAATGCGTTCTGAAAAAAATGCTTCACAAAGAAATACCATGATAATAGTAGCAGAATAATTATAATTCAAATTAGAAAAAATACACTAATGTCATGGTATCAACCGTTATGTCGATTTTTATATATTCCCAGCCACCTTTTGGCTGGGGATTTTGTCTAAACATTCAAAAGGGAAGTATTCCAACAGTATTGTAACGCCCTTCCTCAATTCCTTTTTGCTTACTGGTTATTAGGCCAATTAATAAGATGATGGCTTTGTGCCTTTTTATGACTACTATGCATTTCAAGTTTTTATTCTGACAACGTCAGCGGCTCTCTGCCTATTTGTTCAAGTTCAAGTTTATATCCACATTCCATTAAAAACATACCATTAAAAATATAAAAATTATGAACAATAGCATAATTATATATGAATAATACATTTCTGAAAAACTAAAATATAGAAAATATAGGCCATTGGCCATTCGAGGCAGAACCCTAACAAATATATAAACTGGACTATAATGTGCTACAAGCAAAGAATATAACTTAACAAACCAACAAAGTAGAGGAGAAAAGAATATAAATGAGCACCCTAAGTTATAACACATTTTATCCACACTCTCTCCCTCTCCCCTCTCTCTCTCTCTCTCTCTCTCTCTCCATCTCTCCCTCTCTCTCTCTCTCTCCGTCTCCGTATTCCCTCCCCTTTCATCCTCTGTAATTCCAATCACCCTCTTCGTTTCATCCTGTTCTCTCTCCCCTCTCTCCCCCCCCCCCCCTCTCTCTCTCTCTCCCTCTCTCTCTCGCTCTCTCCCTTTCTTGGCCCCCACCCCTCTTCGCCCCCACCCCTCTTCGCCAGACCGTCGTTGGTTTCCTGACCCTTCAGAACGTATTGGACGTGATCTTAGGACAGACTCGAACCCCAGGCCACCAGGACTCCCTGAGTAAGACGAAGGCGGTCCAGTCATGGAGGCAGCTTGCGATCGAACGCCGCAAATCACTTCCCACTAGCAATGCCTCCGAGGACTCGGTAAAAAAACTTTTCTACATATTTCAGGCAGTGTAGTTCTCATCTGACATGACAGTTATGATGGTGATGATGCTGGTGATGCTGGTGATGTTGGTGATGATAATGATGATGATGATGGTAATAATTCACATTTTTATACGGCGCCATATATCAGATATCTGTTCCAAAAGAGATTTACAAGTTCAGGTACGCTAAAAGATGGATGTGATAAAAAGACTTTTGAATTAAAATAAACGTATTTGCGGAATTATTTAAAATGTTACATAGTATTGTAATACTGTGTATAGAATATCATGAGTATAATGCAATAGCATTATAATACAGGAATGAAGGCATAACAACGAGAGCTTAGCACATATGGGTGTTGTTATACCATGAATGAACAAGTAGGCCCTGTAGGGGAACAAACTACGGAAAAAGTTCCAAAAATGCGATTATCGATTTTTTTTTTTCTTTTCGAAATGGATTTAATCCCACCTCTCCCCCTAAAAATATATAAAGAAAAAGCATTATAAAAAAGGAGAACATGTTAAGGTACTTAGATCTTCAAATTCGGCATGTCTCATCGATTTTACCATGGTCTTAAATTAGTTTGGTCCGAGAAATATGAAACACCTTACAAATTTTATAAAGTATTTTGCTTTTCATCGTATGTTTGGGTAAACAACATTGTGTATAAATTATGTAGAAGTATGTGAGCATCTTACTAAGAGTGAAAAAATGTTTTAAGCCCTTAACAAGTCTTGTGTATTTCATTCTCTTTAAACTTTATTCTTCGACAGAATCGTCAACTGACAGAGAATACCCCTTTATATGAAGTGCCATGACCTTGAAGATGGGAAGGATTTTTTTAAAGACCTCACGCTAGTTTTACTATGTTCTAACATGGATGGGATGCCGCCAAGAAGATAGACACAAGATTTTGAGATGGTGCATCTTCCAAAGACATTTTCACCTCTTTTACACGGGGAACGAAAAATAAAAAACTTTTCTGCCAGGAGGCATAGCTGATATTAAATAATGATGTAACCGTTTATTTCGTGGGTAGGGACTGGAGGCTTCAATTCACTTACAATTCCATTTATTCATTTTATAGAATTATTAACAAAACTAAGTTAACCCGTCGACTTTTGAATTATCTAATTCCTATAGACTTAACACAGGGACCACTCGGTTCCAGTAAAGCAATGGGTAAATATATACGTTAGCAGAGAGAGAGAGAGATGGAAAGGATTTAATACTATGGAACGCTATACACAAACGACGGCACAGTGATGAAGCCTGGATTTGCCTCTGAGGGAGATAAGGGGTTGATTTACCCTCTATTCCAAATACCTGTCGGGTGTTCGGAAAATAAGAATTGTTATAAACATGGGTCAGCAGATTAAAGCCTGATATTATGTATATTGCAACGAAAATTCACATCCCCTGTCTGTTTTATTTACCCATAGGCTAATTTAGTCCAGCACCCTATCACCCTCGTCCACGGTATAAATGGAATATGCCCCTTTTCAGGTCTTAAACTGGAATTAAATGGGCACCTTTTTCGAAATAATGTTACATTTATATTTTTCACTTGTATAGCGCCATCTGGAAGTGAACACTGTACGTGTAGGACAAAGTATGTTGTTTCAGCTTTGGGATCTAAAACACTATTCCATTTCCATTTACGTTGTTTGGGGCATTTGAAACGACCGATAAAGACAAACATCATTATTATCTGTATAATATATATATATTTGTTTTAATTAGATAGGAAATTTATTAAAGTTGCTTGCAATTGTGGCATTTCCCTAAGCCTGTCAATGCAAACGCACAAGCCATATTTTTAAAGCAAATTATGACTCTCCTTGTCTCATAACTATCCAATAAATGTTATTCGAAACAGTTTCAAGTGGATTCCTTTGATTTTAATTTTTATATGTTTCACTGGAAAGAATTGAGATACACATCTTGATGAGATGAGATGAGATGGTAATCCACATGATCAGTTTAGGGATAGGTGTTTCTGAACGTTTATTACACACATTTCAAAGTCCTATCTGTAACTCTGACACTCTTTTAGACAAATTACGAATGTGTCTTCCTTCGTTGGCGAATAAAACTTTGGCCTACATTATTATTCAAGCGTGGGGGCAAATTAGATCCGATTCCACCCCCCCCCCCCCCCATATAAGAAAATAACCGGCGGCGCCCCTGACTGCCTTTGTAGCACTGTCGAACTCGTCAATATCTCTTGCAACAAATTTAAGAGTGAATTCGATAATTTACCTAGAAATTGTCATTTAAAGAGAAGGTCGAGATGCTTGACTATGCACTAACATGACAGGTGACCACCCCCCCCCCCCCCCCTCCCCATGAAGACAGACATGGTGCGCATGGGCAACTAATTTTGATAAAGGTTGAGAAAGAAAACAAAATTGTTAGCTTTTTCTCATTCTCTTTATGTCACTTTGGACGAATCTTATATTAAAAATATTTCCCAGTAAAGGACCCTCAAATGGGAAATATGACGAGAAATAACCGACTCTTTTTAAACCACACATAATATGCCACTTTTGTGCGTGTTAGCGTATAATTATAGTTACCATAATAGACCTACCGATTTCTGTGTACTATTAAATCGTGTGATTTTGCAGTAAGACTGAGCTAACTTCTTTTTATTTTGATCATTTCATAACCCCACAGTATCCATTCATCAATTCTGCATTACTACACAAATAACGCAATTCACCTTTTCAAATCGCTTCTAACAATGTCATCGCATGACCAACACTCAACTTTATTACCAACATGGTAGGACGTAACAATATATACAGCGATCTGTTTCAATTTACGTGCGATATTGTTGTCAACATACTAGTGTGTGTACGTGCCTGACCTTTTTTTTTTTTTGAAACTGAAACAGAAACGAAAGATCACGAGACTATGACTATCATGATAGTCGATATAAGTATGCCATATTACGAAGTCCGAAATGGTCGTAGTTGGCAAATTTGAACAGCACATCATCCAATCCAATCTATCTTTAATTTTGTCTTTTTCTTGCCGAGACGTTTCCTACTACAAACGATAAACACATGGAAATTATTGCACTACTATCGCTGGAATCAAACCGAATATGGAAAAATAATGACAATTTGAAATCAATATTCATTTGAGTCCATACTTCTAGACACTTTCCCATTTAAGAAGATTCCATTCGTTAATTGTTGCTTGTATTGTATCTTTCTTCTTCTTCTCCCCCCCCTTTTTTTTTTGGGGGGGGGGGTAACTGAATTTCATTTAAAAAAAAACGATATACAAAGTGATTTCGTTAATCACAAAATGTACCTTTACAAATATACGAACAGAAAATGATCTTAGGTCATCAATAATCAAAGCGTCAATACAGAGAAGGTAATATAAACACTGACGTACATTGGGGTATAATTAGGTAAATCATACATTGTTTAAAGGGTTTTAAGTCCGGTACTAAATACCGGATAAAATTCAATAAGTACTTTGTTTGTGGTCGGGTAAAGGTACCCAGTTTCACCAAAATGAACTTGAGGAGATTTCTTTGCAATGAAAGGAACAAAAATGATAATGCTAATGAAAACGACGACGACAATGATGTTGATGATGAAGATGGTGATGATAATGATGATGATGATGTTGGAGTAATAATAATAATGATAATAATGAGAATAATTATAATAATGATGATAATAATGATAATAATAACTAAATAATAATAACAATAGTAAAAATAATAAAGATAATAATAACAATAGTTGGTAATGTGGGAATTCATCCCAATGCCCATGTCCATGTACTTAACAATAATCACTTTTAACCACGTTTATATTAACATAATTCACGTGTTAACAGAATAAGTGATCAGATGGGCATCTTGAAATCAAAGTTCAATAATACTCGTGGTTATTAGAATGATTAGGATCATATTTCAGTGAATACAAACCCTTATATGCGGACTTTCATCCCATCAACAGGCCGTCAGCCTTTTTTGTTGTTGCATTTACACCGAAGAGTCACGAGGATAGTGATATCAGACGAGATATATAGAAAATGATATGAATATGATATGAACTATCAAGTAGGAGACAATCATTGTGATAATCACACGCATAACTACTTGAGTATAATTAGGTCGCCCCTCCTCCCCCCTCCTCCACACAACCCCCTAAGGTCATTAATCTTGAAGCTTCTCTATCAACCAGTGACGTATCTATGGATCGAGAAAGAAAAAAAAAAGGGGGGGGGGGTACTGTCCCTATTCGTAAAGATAGGGAAAGATGGGAAGAGAAATGAGGAAGGATAGAGAAAGGGGGGTTGGGGCTGCTGCTACCTTAATCAATTAGAAATGGAAAAGGCGGGAAGAGAAATAAAGAGGATAGAGGGGGAAGGCTACTCGAAAAGAAGGCGATTAGACCATACACCTTCCTTCCAATCAAGATACTCCTCATGTCATCCACCTGTCGGTCCCATTTAGCTCCCCCCCCCCCTGCCTCTTCACCATCCATGATATCAGTGCCCCTACCCTTCAAAGTGGAGACTCACTCCAAGCCACGGCTATAACCTTTAAACACACTTATCTGCAGGCCACGTGATTTTATCAAAGAGCTCATTTGAAATCTTTGTTCTGTTCAAGGAAATGATACTTCAAGTTCAAGATTGATTTGTTCCACATTTTACAGAAATTATAGACATACATATATGTAATACAAATTATATAATACATGTAGTATAAATGAGCATGTCTCAATGATTCTCAATTCATATATAGATTAAGTAGAATGTGAAGAACCCATTAAAAAGCAGTGCTTGTATACTATAGGTTCCTGGTTAAATAATTATTGTAGGTGAACAAATCGTAGCAGTAGAGAAAGACATAATTTAGAGGGGAGAATTTAAAACACAGTGGAATAAGGAAATGTATACAAAATAATGCATTATCGCCAATACCCACTTCCGACTTACTTTAGAAATAAGTTTCGGAACGATATTTGACATCCTTGTTGTTAGTGGCTGAAAATAAATGAGGAAACAGATACTCCTTATCACTATATATACGTTCTGGAGCTCAAATCCTTATTGAGTACTGAATTAATCGAAGGTTCATTCCTCTAACTTGACTTTGTCAACATTTGATCTTTAAATCGTCTCTGTAATAAGACATGGTGTCATCCTACCTTTTCGTATAAGAATCTGTCTATTTCTAAATTTAACAGCTGTAATTATCTCCTTAATTGCAATACGTTTAAATTTTCCCTTTAATTGGTCTTTTAGTTGACATACACGAAGTTATTGTTCCTCACGTTTATCTATATGCAAAACTAGGAAGGCTATCACCGTATCCCCGTACAACCTCCACTGGTTGTCGATCTAATCTTTGGTATCTTTTCAGGCAAACATGGACTTTGAACTCAATAAAGTAAAATATAGTATTTACATTTGGCGGTGTGCGTTATCATAGTCACGGTGGTATTACATCGCTTCCTATATAGGGCAAATGACATCAACTCGAACTGGCGGGCCAAGACATCTGTAATGATCTAACGTCGTATATAAAGATTACCCGTGCTACGTCAACTTCAATCACTTGAAAAATTGGTTCGCTTCCACCATACTAGGACAAACCATAAACAAAACCATTTGAAGAGGGTAGACACCACTAAGTTAACCGGAGAACATTGATAATCAGCTCAAGTGAGCATTCAGATATTAATTATTTTTAGGGAGCGATCTCGTATTCAAATCAAAATGGTTGCTGGTTGTGGACCAAAGATTGCCAAGTGTTTCTTGTTCGTCTTGAACATCTGTCTCTGGGTGAGTATTTGTCATCAGTGTGTAATATGTGTATGCATTATTGTGTTCGATTGTATCAGTGGGCATTCATGGCTAATATTAAGATATACTACAAGGAACTACCTGAGTAATATGCAATAACGATGTATTTCTAGTTCTACTCATAGTTCATAATGCTTTAAATTAGTATACCTTTGGTCGTCTTCTCATGCAAGATTTGATTGCAGAAATTAAATTTTATGGGGTCATTTTGTTAAAATTAAAAAAACCCGAGGTCGTATTTAACCCCCAATCCGAAAACCATAAATACTGCATGACAGTATATGCATAAAACACAGCATGGAGTATCTAAAAGATATTACTTTGATGACGTCATGGTCTTGTTAGTCATGAGGTCTAATTCTCTTGTCACAAGCGTGTCACGAGTGCGATTGTTCTGCACGTTGCTTGGTAATTTGTGTATTATGTAGCCTAATTCATATTTTATCTCTAACACACATGAACGGCACTTCAAAGCGCTTTGTATCCAGTGGAAAGGGTGCTATGTTAATTGCTTCTATCATTAATATTTGCAACATTTCAAATTTGAATGACAGATTTGCAGCATTGCCCTGATTGGTGGAGGGGCTTACGTGACCGCCAATTACAATGACTACGTGGACCTCTTCGCCGATGACACGATTCTGGTCGTCTCATGGAGCGCCATTGGTATCGGTCTCTTCATTTTCGTCGTCGGATTCTCCGGATGTTGCGGCGCCCTCAGCGAGAGCTCGTGTCTTCTTAAAATGGTAAGGAAGATGAGGTAGTGGATGATGGAGGTCGTAAGGAGTGTTCGATGATGACGGATACGATGATGTTGATAGTGGCAATGGTGATGATGATGATGATGATGATGATGATAACATAAAGAATAAGATTCCAATAATGTTAACGATAATGTATATCGTCATTACTTCGATGGTGATGATGATGAAGATGGTGTCGATGATGATGGTAATGCCAATGATTGCGGTAAATGCTGATGTTGTTGATAGTAATAGTTGAGACTTTAGTATATGCTTATAATAACGCATACACAGAAAAATAATAGTGAAAAGATAAAGTCTACAAATATAATATGTTTCTTCGTTACTGTCTATTTCCTTCTCTTTTAGCACGTATTTCAAATTAGGTCTAATCATGTCTACAAAAGAATAACTAAATATATCTTAAAAGGTTTCCAGGCAGAGAAACAATGGCCTACGACAGTTTATCTCATAAATGGGACCCCCCTGAGTTTTTACCCCCCCCCCCCCAGTGCCTTAAACATACTACCCACAATATCATGATAATAACAGCAACATCGTAGCTACAAAATATTAAAACCTTTCAATCCATTTCTTTGTTTACAGTATTTCATGTTTGTTCTTATCATCGTTCTTGCTGAATTTGCATTGGGAATTCTCACGTTTGTCTACAGTAGTGACGTAAGTTTCCTTTCATTATTTTTATATATGTCTTTTTAAATTAAGCATAATTAATATATTGCCAGAGGTGAGATTTCACCGACTTCATTGAAGTATGATTCTTAGGCTGAAACTTCTTGGATTTTTTATATGATATATTTATTTTGTTTGTATTACTTAAGTGCTAAGTTAACATGCATTTTTAAGTAGAATTATTGTCGTGGGTCAAATATATCAAGAAAGGACGGGAGGGTGATCGCCTGTGTATTTCAAGTACTTCCGTGTCACATACGACGTTAGTGTGGACAGGAATTTTACGTCAGTGACTTCAAAATCATGCCTTGACGTTCTCATGTTTACAGATTGAAGAAAGAAGGCATCCAGAAATCAATACATGTGACCTATGGTGAACTTAACACCTCGGTGGAAAGTGACAAATGTAGATAGATGTCCAGCGAAAGGAAACTAGAACCGCGTCTTGTATATCATGTCTTGTCTTTCTCTCATGTTCACAGATTGAAGAAAGTTTGATGGAAGGCATGCAGAAGACAATAAACGAGACCTATAATGATAAAGAGGGCGCTACCGATGCCGTGGATGACATTCAGACATTGGTAAGACATTTATGTGCCTGAAAAGGTTACAAATAAATGTAACACTGTTGGAAATAAGCCATCAACTAGCTTCCATTTGGTCATCCATGTCAAGTTAAACATCATAATCATAATAAAAATAAATATGACTATAATAATCATTTAAAAAATAATGATAAGCATGATAATGATAATACTACTACTAATACTACTACATTTACTACTACTACTACTACTACTAATAATAATAATAAAAATAACAATGATAATACTTATGATAATAATGATGATAATAAAAATAATAACAACATTAATGATTATGATTGTAATAATAATAGTAACTAATGGTAACAATAAGAAGAAGAGGTAGAAGATAAAGGAAAAGGAGAAGGAGAAGGAGAAGAAGAAGAAGAAGAAGAAGAAGAAGAAGAAGAAGAAGAAGAAAAAGAAGGATGATGATGATGATAGTAATACTACTACTACTAATAATAATAATAATGATAACAATTATTATTATTATTATTATTAGAACAATAATACATGAGCCTCATCACCATCAAACCTGATCTTCCTGAGGACCATACATATTGGTCCCTAACAATTGCCAGGTACCCATTTACCCATGTTAGGAGAGTGGCGCGTACGCAGGGGGGGGGGGGGGGGTGGATGAACCCCCCTTAAACTTTTTGTATGTATGTGTTTTTCATTCATTTTTTTTTTTAATTAAAAAAAAAAAAAACATTTAAATTAAAATGTGCTCTTCCGTCGTTGCGAAAATGTCTGCCCGATTTAAAAATGTAACCCCCCCCCTTGAAAAAAATCCTGCGTACGCCACTGGTGGCACATAATAATGGATTAATGCCTTGCAAATGAGCATTAGTGCCGGCCTGCGATTCGAACCCTGAACCCTCTGATTGAGATTCAAGGAAATGAATTAACATACCTTGATCATTCTTTTCCTTAATTTGTCAACTTTCTATGTAATTCTTTTTCAGTTTGAATGCTGCGGTGCATCAGGATACGAAGATTACATGTACTCACAGTATCTTGATGTTGGTCTTGCTGTGCCCAAATCATGCTGTTATAAGAACAGCACTGGAACTGCTAACTGCACCGGAGGGGCCAAAGGTCAACCTACGTACCCTGACCTTGTCTGGAAAGATGTGAGTGTCTTTTGTTTCATTTATTAATTTAAGTAATTAATAATTTAATCTTTCTATTTATTCATTTTTATATTTAAATGTATTAGACAAATGATTATTTAATGATATATTCATTTACTAAATTTTCATTAATTGATTTCTTTAACAAAATTGATTTCTTTATTCATTCATTTATGTTTATTACTGTTGTTTACTCCAAAGGATAATATTGTCCCATTGATATTATTCTGGATAGGGTTGGTAGCTGTCCACTTTTCACTGTCCACCAGTTAGTTGTCTCTCTCATTTTGTATCTAGGCTGATCAAGTCGATACATACGTTATGGTTCCTTGGAGAAAAAAAATAGACAAAGAAATCTGAATCTGATAATTCACATAATATAAAGACAAAACATACACATAGATTTTCCATTACAACACAACATATCAATATGAAGATTTGAACGATGTTAACAGATCTTTAATGTGCAGTTAAGGTTACCCTTTCTTAACTGTGTAATTATTTTATTCATTTGGACGCCTGAATCAACAAACTAACATAAGCTTCCTACAGGTGCTCCCTTTTCCTTCTAATAATTTCACAGTTTTTAAAAAAAATTAATTCGACGTAATGCTCATGATTTGTATATTTTAAGCTGTCTGTACTTCATCACATGTATATATTTGTTCGCTTTTTAACGGAAATAAAGTCTTTTGAATTTGAATTGAATTGAATTAACTGATGATTCTTCGTAACTTGTCTCTCCTCCAGGGCTGTGTTAGTGCATCGAAGGAAACGATCGAAAGTCACTACATCATCATCGGAGCTGTAGCATTTGGTTTTATTGTTTTTGAGGTAAATTTGTTTTCCCTTTTTTTATTCATTTTTCACATCTTAAATTTCAATTTTTCAATTTCAATATCAATTTATTGTCCAATATTGGGAATTTGTTTTGTTCACATTTTACAAGCGTACAAACAATCAAAATGAGTTTACATACATAGTACATCATATACTTTGACATAGAAATTCTTCAGAATATTGCTTTACAGAAAGTTTTCTTACGTTATTAATTTTCTTGTGCTTGACATTTTTTGTTTATTTTTGTTTCTTGCTAATCACAAGTTTTTCTTATATCTAGTTGTTATGGTGATCATATGAATACAAAATGGTTGAACTCTTCTCCATTCTATTCTAACAGTTATTTTAAGACAATTTCCATACAATGTAAATGCTCTTCTCCCTGTTTATTGCTGTAAATAGTTGTTTCTGTGTAAGCGATGTACGTTAGATTATTCCGCGATAACAAAAATCCTAGTTGGCATCATGATGTATATTTATCTCTTTGTTTATCTACAGATCCTGACGATGGTCTTTGCTTGCTGTGTCATAAGTGGAATCGGCAATTCAGGATACGACAAATATGCGTAAAGGGCTCCATTCTTATCAATGCTTCTCACAAAAACATTCACAAATATGCGTGGTTTCAGGAGGATGATGGGAGAGGTCAGCTTATATCAAGGTGAAAATCATTCTCCGGGTTTCCACTGTCCACATCAGTGGCATTCGAGAACATATGAAATCTGGCATTTCTGAAAACAGTGATTTGCAGGCAATTTTATATGAATACCTTATCATGAAACGAAAGAAATAGGGACCATGGCGCAATAGTTATTCCGAAATTTAACTGAATGATTAAGGTCTTATAGGAATAACCACTTACCGGGCATGATGATAGAACATATTGACACATAAAAGAGTCAGTTCACCTCTAAACGGTTTACACAATAATAGGAACAAGAATGAGAAAAATTTAATGGTTACTTTGAGCTTACAGGAAATTCGGTGAATTATTGTCAAGAAATGTAAATATTTATCTGTAAGTGCTGACTGAGTTATTTGTTTTAATTCAATCCATTTTTTCTAATCTTTACACATTTCCTAAGCTTTGTTGGGGGTGTCACAAATAGGCAGTCATATTACTATGTTGTCAATGATAACGAAAAACATCGGTTTTTCTGTAAATACTTGTATAAGGTGAAAGTTGTGAATAAGTGTGTAAAAAGTTTAGGTCGACCCTAAAATAAGTTTATTTGTGATACCAAAATATTTTAAATTGAACGGGTTTAAGCCTACGTGTCCTTCGGCTTCTTAGACGCCGTAACATGAGCTAAAGCTATAATTAAAATTGTCTTTCAAAAAATCTAAATTTAGAAACGCATTCTGTTGTGCAAGTGGATTACACATTTATTTGTAAATATCGATGATGGTTATTTCTATTCCAAGAGTTCCCTCCTTATTGCCAACACAATTTAGTAGCAATTAAGTATAATTCTGAATCTCACACACATCTAGCGAGAATGATGGACCAGGCTTCTTAAATAGGAATTGAGATCCGCAGCCCCCTCAACGGGTCTGACAGATATAATTGTTCCAAAGGTTGTATTTATGGCACGCATGCAAGGAATACAAATCATGTATTTTGTTTACGTTTTAAACATTGATTATTTGTATAGCAGAAACGTTTACAGCCTATACCACTGTCTTAAAACAAAACTCTTTGTGCATACGTGCTATGATGTCATACAAGACTTGATGACATTGCCTAGATTGCCATTTAAATTAAATGTACAGTATAATATTGAAGTTTTGTTTTGAAAATTGCTCAATCATATTTTACATTAAAATCATTTTTGACAAATCAAATGTGTCTATCCCTAAAGTAAATCACACATTTTGAAGAGAAATTGAAAAATAAAATTATATTTTTATGAAATTAATCAGAATGTTCATTTGCCCGGAGCATATATTTTCTTGTTTTGTTTTCATCAGTTAACCCAAGACTATCTCATTTAAATTATTAATGCAATGAGAAGAGGATGAACAGTGTTTATAACATCAGATTACAAGAATAAAACAAGAGAGAGAGAGAGAGAGAGAGAGAGAGAGAGAGTATATGTGTGTGTGTGTGTGTGGGGGGGGGGTCTGTGTACATGTGTGTTTAAGAGACAGGAGAACATTTTATGATGGTAGGGAACAGAAGTAAAAGTAAATGTAAATGTAGGGAACAAAAAAATGAATTGTGAGTCAGACTAATATTGAACTTGATACGTGCGTATGTATAATAGGAGGATAGACATAGACAGAGAGAGAGAGAGAGAGAGAGAGAGAGAGAGAGAGAGAGAGAGAGAGAGAGAGGTCTAAAGGGGAGAGTAGAGAAACAAGATAAATAGATATATAGAGAGAAAGGGTGGGGGGGGGACGTTCAAGTCACCTACCCACACAAGAATCATTACAAATGAATTTAAGTGAGGCACATGACTTGTAGGAAACGACAATATATATATATATAGAATCCTAAGCCCCCTACCTCGATAAAGTAACACCAAATGTATAACATGTCTGTTAAAGGAATGCGTTCTAAAGTATTTTTGTGAGCACAAACAAAGATATTTTTTCTTCAGAAATATTCACCGATCGGCCATTACAGTTTCCCCTTATTGATCTCAACTCTAAAATTCGTTTATCTGTCAATAATTATGGTCTTTTTTGTTAATAAATATAGAGCCCTCTCTTGTTGAGTTTCATAATGAACACGATCGTGAAGCCTTTCAAGAAATCAACCTAATCAATGTTAACACCCTATTGTACATCCCATAGAAATCATGTTAGGATTACATAATAGTCATTGCAATGTTCGTATATATACAATAGATGATGGACAAGGCTATTGCAACTGACAAAGGTTTATTTATCGCCAGTCTGATATGGCTAGGTTAAGAAACAAACGTTTGAAAGGTAAACAGCGTTTACATTTAGAAAATATTACTACATAGGTAGGTAAAACAAATATCAGCATGTATTTCCCCACTTTTTGTAAACACTCAACTACCAAGAAAATCTCCATTTCTCTTTTTATAAAATGTTACATGTATAGACCAAACAGGAACCATCTTGTGTTATTCGTAAAATGTATCTAATGATCTGTGAACTTTGTACATGTAGCTAGAAATCCCAGGTTCAGCACTAGTCAAATATTTAATTATAGCGCGTGAACAATATTTTATTGTTCATAACTATGATTATATTTGATATGAACAGTTTTCCGTATCAGGCGTATGCTGACAGCTTTGCGTGTCACGTGATCAATTAGGCCCTAGCCATACCTTGCCCTTTATATACCCGATACCGATACTGATAACCATGACAATTAAATGTGGTATTTTCATGATTTGATAATGTTCTTGCCCTGCGATCGTATCCTTACAGAGTGTTCAGAAAAATAGATAACTAATAATAGCAACAGAAACTGACATGACATTGTTTTTCTTTAAAAGTGGCGTTTGTCGTTAATGTATGGACTTGTGGATTTCCCAATACGGGCGCCTTTTTATTACGTAACAAACTCGACGGGGTGGAGGGTTGTGGGTTGTCTGGGAAGAACAATTTGTGTTTGTTTAGCAATATGAAATGTATCTAATGGGTGTAGATGTCGTTATTGGAGACTGGGTGTGACATGGGTTTAATACTAAAAAACCCGTGTAGGTCGCGTCATTTGAAGGACTTGTTTAGTTCCTATTGTTATAAGCTTGCGTCATCGACTCTAGAACATTTCGATTCGAGAAAGTGGGCTCACGTAGCTCAATTGATTGACTGACTGATCTTGCTTGGTTTGTTCGTCGCGTTTTCTAGATTTCAAAATCAAAATGGTTGTTAAGCATGTCTTATTCTTCTGTATTTGGGTGAGTAGGCTATATTACACGTATATATGTCCAAGCTTGTTTGAAATACTGATTTTAATGTGTACCAGCAATAAGGCACATGTTATATGCCATCCGTCACCCTGTGTGAAGACGCGTTTTTTTTTCTTCTTCTAATTGTTGTATATTATATACCCCCTTCACACACACGGACTGTTTTTACGGGTTCTTACAGATTGCACAAATTCACGGATCTTTCACGGATCCTTACGATTTCGCCACTCTAACGACCGATTTAAGAGTTGTTACGAGTTATAACGAGCTATTTACGGATTATTAGGAGTTATTACGATGTATCTACGGCAAAATTCCACAATTTATTACGAGTCGGCGCGGATAAGTACGAGCAACTTACGTGTTGGTAACGAACTATTTACGTGTTGTTACGAATAGTGACGAGTCCTTTCGATTTTTAGCAAAAAAATAACAACTGAAAATGAAGCGTTCGAATTTGCGGCTGTTATAACCTTCATCGTAAACAACTTAATACGCAATAATATGTAAAGTATACGTATCTATTCAGAAGAAAAAGAAAAGAAGAAGAAAAATAATAGAAGAAGATGATAAAGACGAGGAAGAAGAAGAAGAAGAGGGAAGAAGAAGAAGAAGAAGAAGAAGAAAAAAAAAAGAAGTAGAAGAAGAAGAAGAAGTAGAAGAAGAAGAAGAGGAAGAAGAAGAAGGAAAATAAGAAGTAGAAGAAGAAGAAGAAGAAGAAGAAGAAGAAGAAGAAGAAGAAGATAGAGAGAAGATAAGAAGTAGAAGAAGGAGAAGATGAAGAAGAGGAAGGAAAAGATGAAGAAGAAGAAAAAAGAAGAAGAAGAAGATGAAGAAGAAGATGAAGAAGAAGAGGATGATGAGGAGAGAGAGAGAGAGAGAGAGGGGGGGGGGGACATGCATATAGATAGAGAGAGAGAGAGAGAGAGAGAGCGCGAGAGTGACAGGAGGCGGGGGAAAAGGTTGAACAGCTTGGATATTGACGTAGAATTATAAGAAGGAAGAGAAGAGTAGCTGGTTCAAAAGAGAAAATGATAAGGGGTTCTGTACATATAGCAAAATAAAAAAATACCACAAACACACACATAAAAAGAATAATTACGAAAAAAGCAGAAAACAGTATTAAACAAAAGAACAAACAATGTCTAGACAATGACTTGGAATCAAGTTTTAAAATGCCCAATTCTTTCACATTTGTTGCTGTAGTGTCTGTAGTGATTGTTAATTTTGTTTGTTTTTTGTTTATGTATTTGATTTTTCATTAAATTTGAATCGTAGGTTTGCAGTATCGTCCTGGTCGGTATAGGAGCTTCTGTGACGGCCAAGCAGAATGCATACCAGGACCTGTTCTCGGAAAACACGATTCTAGCTCTCTCATGGACCGCCATTGGTATTGGTATCTTCATCTTCGTCGTCGGATTCTGTGGGTATTGCTGGGCCCTGACCGACAGCTCGTGTCTTGGTGCACTGGTAAGGAAGATGAGATGGTGGATTATGAAAGTCGCGGGAAATACTCATGAGGAAAATCACGATGATGATGGTGTTGATGGTGATGATGATGGTGATAATTTTGTCGATGCGTATGTTGTTATCATTGAGTTCTTATTTAATGTACGTTCTCGTTCTCTATCAATGTGTTCTATCACATCATTTTTACTTTGTTTCCTATGTTTTTTTCTAATTTTTATAGGAGTCATTAATGATGTTCCTCAATTTTCATAACTTCTAATATCAATTATAATTTTCTATAATTTTGATAACTTCCAATCATATTAATAATAAAGTTACACAATTTTGCTAACTTCCCATATTACCGTGCATATGATTGTATAGACAGAAAATTGTCTGCGTTTAGCATGCATTTATCAAACATGCATAGTTTGAACAGCTCTTTTTTCAATCCTTTGTTATAATAATCCTAACAGTAATTGATCTCCATGTATATTACCGTATACAGGAACACACATTTTGCTGTATTGATGTATCATATACCAAATTTAGTCTGAATAGATTATTATTAAATTATTGTATGACATAAGAGTATTTGCTTCTAATCTCCCTCACATGTGCCTAATATGAGGGTTAATTTTAGTTACACATTCATGTATATGTTTACCTTATCTTTATATTTTGCTTTATGTATGCACCATCCAATGTGGAGAGCCTCTCGACCGCATTTTTAAATTCTTTTAGGTGATTCCCAGGCATTGGCTGGTGCTAAATATCGTACTGCTAATGATAAATCATTTTGCCAACCCTGTGATGTTTTCTATGTATTGTTATCATCTTGCTTGGAAAAAAAAATACAAATAAAAATGATGATGATGGTGTTGTTGGTGTTGATGATAGTGACGATAATGATGATGATGTTGATGATGATGATGATGATGGTGATGATAACGCAGGTGATGATGGTGATGGTAGTGATGTTAATGATGGTGATTATGATGAGGATGGTGATGATGTTGATGATAGTGATAATGATAATGATGTTGATGACAGTGATAATGATGATGATGTTTTTTGTTGTTGATGATGATGATAGTGACGATGATGATGATGATGATGATGTTGATGATGATGATGATGGTGATGATAACGCAGGTGATGATGGTGATGATAGTGATGTTAATGATGGTGATTATGATGAGGATGATGATGATGTTGATGATAGTGATAATGATGATGATGTTGATGATAGTGATAATGATGATGCAGTTTTTTGTTGTTGATGATGATGATGATAGTGACGATGATGATGATGATGTTGATGATGATGATGATGATGATGATGGTGATGATAACGCAGGTGATGATGGAGATGATAGTGATGTTAATGATGGTGATTATGATGAGGATGGTGATGATGTTGATGATAGTGATAATGATGATGATGTTGATGATAGTGATAATGATGATGTTTTTTGTTGTTGATGATGATGATGATGATGATGATGATGATGATAACGATGATAGTGATGATATTGACATGGTGTGGATATACAACTGAATAGGCCTATTGCAATTTATACAATACTTTAAAGTTACGAATTAATATGTTTTACGTGATTCATGTGGTTGTTTATTCCTCAAATAATGTATAGTTCTGTCAATTTTAATGTCGTTAATGTTGTTGCACTTACCAAGAATAATGAAGACAAAAATCTTCTTATTTTTTGCAGTTTTTTATCAGTTTGCTACTGATCGTGCTGGCGGAAGGCTCTTTGGGAATCACGACATTTGTTTTCCGTGGTGGCGTAAGCATTGCACTCATTTGTTTTGATAGACCTGTAATTACATGTGTGCCCATATCAATTAATATCAATATTTGTAAATCGGAAGTTTCTGTTTAACCTACATCTTTACGGCAGCTACATTGTATTAGGCCCTACAGAGTTTTTGAAAATATAATTTTCACAGGATTTTGATACGTACATGTATTTGTATAGGCACATTCATTTTCATGTTGTTCTTTATAACAAATTCAAGCAGCCTGCTTATCGATCATGTGTTGAAAAATATTGCTACTAAAGAGTAATATTTAAATAGGTGATTTTCATGCGAAGTTTATAATGTTGGGCCAATAAAAAGGATCATAAAAAAATGTCGCCAATATCATTCGCAGCATTTTTATGATCCATTTCTTTCCATCGATATCGTTATAAGACTGTTTTAGTGTGAGTGCATTAACATTTTTAGTTTTAATTAAAGTTCGTTGGCTATGGCGAGAAAGATGGGAGCGGAGGTGGGGGGGGGGGGGGGATGTTACAAAATTTGAAAATTGCATGGTTTATACACGGTCGGCAGAAATCTCCTTATGTTTCTCCATGTCTGTTCCTTAATGATGCGAGTGCTCTCGTTCTATCTATTCTATGCCATACTACTCTACCCCCCTCTCTCTCTCTCTCTCTCTCTCTCTCTCTCTCTCTCGATCATTCTCGATGTCTCTCGTTTTATCACCCCCTCTCCTAGAGTGAGGACAATATGACGAAGGGCATGCAAAGAGCTATAAATGAGACCTATGATTTCCAAGAAGGTGCAACCGAAGCCGTAGATGACGTGCAGCGAACGGTAAGAGAATGCAACATCCAAAGAACATTTTACATTGACGATCAGTGCAAAGGATATAGGCTCAGGGCCCCGTACATCCCCTCCCTCCCCATCTCCACCATCTAACAGTTTAACAAATGGAGAAAGGAAAATAAGATATCGATGTTACGTCACTTTCATGAATTGTAATTATTATACATGAGTTAATATGATACATTGCAGTGGCACTGTTCTTGACAATCAAAAGTAGCATTAACATTGATGCGAAGGGGATGGGGGTACATGTGCCCCCAACCTTTCGAAGAAAAACAATGGGAAATGTAAATAAAGATCTATTCAGCGAGAGGCTTTGCATTTTTTTTTTTTTTTAATATCGAACGTCCGTCACAAAATGACTTTGCAATGTAGGTTAAAATAAAATAAAATAAAAGGGGAAAAGGGACGAATTGGTCTAGGCTGAACTTCGACCCCACATCAAAGTACATAGGTATCACTCTTGATCGAAGCCTCACCATCCAAGAACATGCCAAATCCACAGCTCAAAATACTCAAGCCAAAGTGTTTCTCCTAAGGAAGCTTGCTGGGACCGGATGGGGAGCTGATTTCACCACCCTTCGCACTCCCACTCTAGTTCTTGCCTTCTCCACCGCCGAGTATGCCGCACCTGCATGGAGCCACAGCACTCATGTACACAAGGTTGATGTTGTCCTTAATGATGCTATGATATAAATCAGCGAAACACTCACTGCAACAGTCTGTCAGCAACCTGTCAATACTGTCTGGGATATCACAAGCTCAGCTCAGACGAGATGCGCAGTACACCAAGCGTGTCCAAAAGCATTACACCGTCCACCCTACCCAACTGGATAGCAAAACGCTGGTCAGACCGTTGGAATTCGTCTACTACCAACTTGAAGGAGTTCATCCCAAAGCCCTGTGTAAAACCAAATGAATAAAAGCCTGGGTCAACCTCAACCGTATCAGAACTGGGTTTGGCCGTACACAATATTTCCTGCATGAAATTGGAGCCGATCCATCGCCAAACTGTGCATGTGGAGAGATCCAAACTATGAATCATGTCACTGATGCTTGTCCTATCTACAAATCCCCTCACGGTGCTTCTGGACTTCGAGAGCTCGATGATGAGACAATCAGTTGGCTAAATAAGGATCTCCCTTTTTAGATGGTATACTCCTTGATATTCTTCGTACACACAAATGAGTTCTTTGTTAGTTGAATTTATGTAACGAAATAAAAGGGGAAAGTGTTAATGGGAAAATCAATGCCTTTCTTCTTTACATTTCTAATTCGTTCCTTAACAGTTCTTTTTCATTCTGAAAGGAAGTAACAAAATGAAAGGGTTAAGTCGGAATTCAAATTTTAAAGCTTTTCCTCGTGGTTTTTCTTTGACGAATTTTACTCGACTCCACCTTTCAGTTCGAGTGCTGCGGTGCATCTGGGTACAAGGACTACAAGACCTCTAAACATCTTCAGCAGGGGTATGCTGTACCCGAATCATGCTGTAGATATTTTGAAGAATGTACTGGTGGATCCAAGGGGAATCCCGACTACCCAAATCGAGTCTGGACAGATGTGAGTAGATACTTGATTTGACTTGACTTGACATAATTATACATAATATATATCAGTCGTTCTGGTTCCGTTCATCCGGCTATACTATTTGGCATATAATCTCAAATGAGGTCTTAATGGTTTCTCTATCTTGTAGGGTTGTGTGCATGCAACAAAATATACGATCAAGAATCACTACAATGCCATTGGAGGCGCTGCATTCGGTATTCTCTGTGTTAAGGTAAAACATAAATCTTCTCTGCTTTCCTTTTGTATAACTGTATTTTCGATTTCTTATACTCTCTTCATGCAGGGAATAGGAGTCAACTAATAAGAAGTGATTATATATCTCCGTTTTGGAGTGGATTCCGCTATTCTGAGAGATGATTTGCACCCCATTTACTCCCAACCAAACGAAGTGATGCTTATAGTGATGATAATTATTACAAACTCCACAAAATATGAATATATTTTCACGTAAATAAAGATGATAGCGGTCGTCAGATTTCGTGCTTTCCACGAGTTTATTTGTTTATATAAACATGAATCATTATTTCAACATATTTGTACATTTGTTCACTTTGCTCCTGAACGCATTTAAATTCATTTATTTTATTTTTTTGTCGACAGAGCTCGTTATAAGATTTATTTTATAACAAAAACTATAATAATAATGATAATGATAATAGTAGTAATAATAATACTAATATCAATAACAATAATGATAATAATAATAATTACATTAATAATTTTATAGCAATAACTATGATAATAACGATAATGATAATAATAGTAATATTAGTAATAATAATCATATGTATGTAACATAATAATTAAAACTATCATAATAACAATGATATGCTAATTATATTAATAATATTATTAACAATAATTTTTTTTTTTTTTGTAATATTCTTTATTGTATTCACTCAATAAATAATATTAATTCATACAAATTGTAATATATAACATATTGAAACCAATCACAGAGTACAAAATACAGTAATCTCAATTATATTGAATGAATTAATATTGTTATAACCCCCCCCCCTCTATATTTTGTTCTGTGTTACTAGTATCCCTATTACATATTATAATTTATAACATATTGGAACAAAGTACAGACTACAATCAACTTAGTTATATCGAATGAATAAAGTTTGTTAAATCCCCTACCCCCGTTAAAAACAAAACCAACAACAACAAACACACAACAACAACAAAAAAAAAAAAAAAAAAAAAAAAAAAAAAAAACGATACAAGAAGACGTGGGCAGTCTATGGCAGTCGAGACCGGTCAATCACACTCAGCTGTGAACCGGGCAGGCCCCCCTTTCCTCATCCCTTGCATTTTCTTGCATATTATCCATGTTTACCTTGAGATGTTCCCATTTTTTATAGTGGAGCGTCAACGTATTTCGTTCAGTAGCACTCTTTCTTTCTTCCTGTTTACTTTTGAATATTTTCTCTCTTATATCTTCAATACTTGGAGGCTTCTTTTTTTCCCTACTAATAAATATCAAATATTTAATTAATAAAACCACGTGATTAATCATTTGCCTATCTTCGGTTATTTCGTCTAATCCAATGTGAACTTCCTTCCAGCTCATATTTTTAAGGATTGGAATATCCAAACTATCACTACATTGATCCCATAATTTTCTCACCATTTCGCATTCAAAAAATATGTGCCTATATTTTTCCTCTTCTTTTCCACAAAATGAGCATTTATCACTTAATATGAATTGAAACCTGTATAAATAACGATTGACATAAACAATTTTATAAAGCAATTTGAATTGAAATTCTCTTAGTTTATTATCTAAAGTACTAATTCTTGGTCGGACAAAAACCTTTTCAATTTCTTTAACCGACAGATTGTATGATGAATGTAAATTCTGAAAACTGACAGGGACGTCTTGCATTTTTTGTATGCATGCCCTGTACAGATTTTTCGAACAAACCGATTCAAATTGGAATGTTTTTTTTTGTGAACATAAATTCTATTTTTAGATCATGAAATGAAATTTGCCTCTTTGTTAATTCGATTTTCCATTCCTTTGGTATATTACCATAGATTTCTTTAAGCATTGATATTTCCTCTTCCTCTAGTCCCATACATCTGAAATAAGTTTCCGACTTTAATGTTCCTTTTCCATCTATAATATGGTACAATCTATAAGTATTTTTTAAGAAAAGATTTTCATTGAAGTATGTTTTTCCACTATTGTGTATAAACCTATTATTTAAAAAAAATTTCATTCCCTTTGTGAGTTGTATCTTTTTTAATAAAATCATTCATATCTAACCAAATGTTTATTAAATCCCGATAGTATTTTGGTAATTGTATATCGATCTTGTTAGGTAAATAGTTACAGTAAAAAATAAGATTTCCTCCGAAAGGTCTCATTAAAAATTTGAAATACTTTTTCCATTTAACTCTCTGGTTTCCTGTTACAAGTCTTTTAATCCACATCACTTTTTGTACTTTCACAAAAAGTTGAAAGTTGAGCATTTTTAATCCTCCTTGCTTGTAATCAAAATACATCGTACTTTTTTTAATTTTGTCTTTACCTCGCCATAGAAAATTAAAACAGATCTCATCAATTTCTTTTATAACCCATTCAGGCACTGGAGTCAAAGAGCTTACATAGATTAGTTTTGAATATGCGTATGTTTTCAGTAAATGAATTTTTCCTATCAAAGTAAGATCTCTTTGTTTCCACCAATTTAACAATTTATTTATTTTGCTTAATATTTCTTTGTAATTCATCTCTTCCGCCACATTGGGATCTAATGTAAAATATATACCGAGTATTTTTAAAATGTGTGCCTCCTTTCCAAAAGGATACACAGTCGCAGAGCCAACAGAAGATCCTAAGGGTAAAATGAATGTTTTATTTCCATTAATCTTTAGTCCTGATATTTTCCTAAAATTTTCCATGATTACCTCTATTCTATTAATCGAGTTTATGTCTCGTACAAAAATTGACATGTCATCTGCATATAAGATCATCTTTATTTCTGTTTCTCCAAAACAAATACCTTTTACCAACTTATCATTTCTAATGCAGTGAGTTAAGCATTCTATGCATAAAATAAATAAATATGGAGATAACGGATCTCCTTGTCTTACACCCCTTTTAACTTTAAAATATCCGGTTGATTTACCCCCATTAAAAACACAACTTTGAGCATTGGTTAGTAAAATTGTAACCCATTCACAAAACATTGGCCCAAATCCGAAAGAAATGAGCACTTTCTGAAGAAAACTATGTGAAATCGAGTCGAAAGCTTTTTCATAATCTATTGCCAATAGGTACCCTGGTTTGTTAAAACAAGAAGTATGAAAAATCATATCATTGATTAATCTGATTGCATCACCGATGTTTCTATCTTTTAAATAACCTACTTGATCGACCGACACAATTTCATTCAAAACTTGTTTTATTCTTTTAGAAAGTATTTTGGTAATAATCTTATAGTCTACGTTGAGTAAGGAGATAGGTCTATAATTACTAATGAAATTGGGGTCTTTACCATCCTTATGTATAAGCGTTATGATTGCTTGTTTTTGAGAAGGCGACAATTCCTTGAATTTCATGGTATCGTTAAATGCCTTAAGAACTAAGTCACCAACTACATGCCAGAATGTAATATAAAATTCTACATTTAATCCGTCATTTCCTGGGGATTTATTTAACTGCATTTCTTTTAAGATTTCAATACACTCTCCCTGGTTAATTTTTCCTTCACATAGCTTCCTCTGATTTTCTGTTAATTTGGGTAAGGTTTTGGGGAAAAAATTAATATTTTCGCATAACCCTTCTTCTGATTTAGCATACAGTTTAGAATAAAATCTTCTAATTTCTTGTATGATATCTTTTTCATCATCAGTTATATTTCCATCTACTTGTAATTCTTTAATAGCACTTTTTTCTCTTTGAAATCTATTAGTTGCTTAAAATATGCCGTTTCTCTTTCTCCACTTTCAAACCATTGGGCTCGAGATCTGATTTTTACCCCTTCACTTATATAACCGTAAAGACTTTTCAATTCCCTTCTTTTCTTTTCCAAATCGTTAATCAAAGAATTGTCATTCACCTTCGCTGGTATTTGTAATTCTTCCTCTAACTTTGAAATTTCTTTTTCCAAACCAACAATCTTATCCTTTCTTTCTTTGGCTTTTTTCTTACAGTATTTTCTTGTAAAACTTCGTATCTCCATTTTAACATAATCCCATAATATTCTATTATCTATTATCTCTTTGGATAGATTGAGTTTCAACCGTGTTATTTCTTCTTTCATACTTTTCACATAATCTGCATCGTTACATAAACTGTTATTAAATTTCCAATATCCTGCTTTTATTACAGGATTAGTAGAAGAATGTAGTTTAATAATCAGTTCTACTGCTGAGTGGTCCGGTGAAATTGAAGTTAATATTTTGCAGCTAAATACCATATCTTCTATGCTCTCCGAAATAACCCAGTAGTCCAATCTACTATGCATTTTAGGATTCTGTTGGTGATATGTAAATTGTTTCTTTAAATTATTTTTGACACGCCATATGTCTGTGGCATTATAGTCAATTAAAAACTTTTCAAATTCATAGCTAAGCTTAGACTGTTTTTTATTAAAATTATGTCCACTGTAATCTAAATGTACATCTCTAACCATATTAAAATCCCCTCCAATAATGAGAGGTTTATTTTTGAATTCATCTTTTTCCAAAATATTTCTAACTTTGCCCAGAAACTCCAATTGTAATGGTAATAACGATAAAGATAATAACGGTAATGATAATAATAATAATAATAATAATAATCATAATAATGATGATAATATTGATGATACTAATAAATACTACTACTTCTATTATTAATAATAACAATGAAAAAAATAACAATAATCATAATTAGAATAGGAATAATTTCGTTTACGCAGAAAAGCTTCATCAGCAGCATTGCTGTTCTTCCTGAGGGCCCTCTAACTATTATTGCCAGGTATTCATTCACCCTTGGGTAGGGAATGGCAAATGTGAATCTCCTTGCTTTCTTTTATGCCAATCTGTTTGTTCGCTTTGAAGTTATTACTTTTAAAGAAACTCTTGTAAATGTTAACCCCAAAATTTATTATCCACTTGTTTTTAATACAGATATTGACGATGATGTTTGCTTGCTGTTGCATAACAAGATCTCCCGGCGGTTATGAAAGCGTTTGAATTCCGTTCCTCTTTTGACTTATTTCGTGATATCAAAACACAAGCTCTAAACATGATTGTAAAGAATTTCAAAAAGTCACGATATCCTTGTCCATCAGCTTCTGATAT